ACCCCGGTCTCATCAGGACATGGAGGCAGGGACCGCCGGCTGCCTCCTCCACCCCCTACTTTCCACCCCAAAGTCCATGTCGGTGTTAACTCAAGAACCACCTCTTACAACCTGTGTTCTGTCTCTTTCATTCCGTACCCACCACCTCCCTTCAGGAGCTGACATGGACGTGTGCCTTACAAACTACGGTCACTGTAACTACGTGTCTGGGAAACATGCCTGCATCTTCTATGATGAGGTGAGTGAGAGCAGGCCCAGGGGCTAAAAGCTAATCTTTGCGGGCCTGGGGCACCACAGGGTCTGGCTTTCCCTCCATCACCTGCTCACTGAGTCTCCCCTCCTGAAGATGAAGGGCCGGCTGGGGGCCCTCTGTCCTGGCCTGTCTATGCCATCTGAGCAGAAAGAAGCAGTCAGTGTCTCTTCCCTGTGGCCGTTCACAAGGGAGAGCAGGGCAGGGGCCTCCCTGCTAGGAAGGAAAAGAGCAGTTAGATTTGGACCCACAGCGTAGCCCAGCAGAGCCTGGAAGGTCGGGCGGTTAGAGACCCGAAGCTACTGCCACTGCCTCGGACTCAGTGGCTGTGACGGGACACCCGGGGTGTGCACAGGCAGAGGCTCTTGGCCTGGCTCGATTCATAGAAGGACTTCACACCCAGAACAGCCAAACAAGGGGCTATCATGAAGGGCCACGATGGTGATCATGGAAGGGGGAGGCTCCCCTGAGGGGGGCAGGAGCCAGTCTGGGCAGGCAGCAGAGCTCTGTCCCCAGCTTGAGGAGCTTACGTCCAGTCTCCCCTTAGAATACCAAGCATTACGAGCTGTTGAACTACAGTGAACATGGGACAACGGTGGACAACGTGCTGTACTCCTGTGACTTCTCAGAGAAGACACCCCCCACTCCCCCCGGCAGTATTGTTGCCAAAGTGCAAAGCATCATCAGTAAGTTGGCACAGAGTCCCTGACTGGCTGGCTGGAGGGTAGGGATTCCTGGATTGCTCCAGGTGCTGCCACCTTATCTCGGAGGCCAGGTTAGAATTGTACCTCAGGCTTCCTCATATTTGTCCCTTTACCCCCCCCCCACCTTCTCCAGGTTCTCTGCCTTCGATCTTCCTTTTGTCTCTAGCTCTAGGGTTTTGGTTTCAGTGCCGTGTTAGCGTGCCCTGTTGGGGAGAGAGTCCCCTCGCCAACTCCCTAAACATATTCCTTCTCCTTCCTCCAGTTCCCACAGATCTTCTCCCTGCCAATTCCTGGGCCTCACCTCTGCCCACTTGACTTCCCCCACACAGCTCCATACCCAGTAACTTCTGCATTGGTCCAGAATTCCCCATCCAGCCCCCTCCTCACCTCTCATAAGCTGTGCTCTGCTCACTTGATCCCCAGTGAGCCTGCCGGTGCTGGGATGGGCTTGGGCCTCTTGCGCTCTGACCCTGGCCCCATTTTCCTCTCACAGAGCGCAGAAGGAGCCGGAAGCAGGAAGAGGAGCCCACAGAAGAGGCGGCTATGATGAGCTCCCAGGCCCAGGGACAGCCGAGGTGGCCGTGTAATTGCAAAGCCAGCAGCTCGAGCTTGATTGGGGGCAGCGGGGCCGGCTGGGAGGGCACGGCCTTGCTGCACCACGGCAGCTACATCAAGCTGGGCTGCCTACAATTTGTCTTCAGTGTCACAGAGTTCGCAACCAAACCACCCAAAGGGGACACTGCCCTCCTTCCAGATGGAGGCCTCGCTGAGAAGCTCTCCCTCAAGCCTCCCCAGGGCCCCGTGCTGCGCTCCAACTCGGTGCCCTAGGCCTGGGCACAGGCGCTCCACCCTGAGACAGACTCCTCCAGTGCAACAATGTACAAAACCAAGCCCGGGGTTTTTCTATCCTCTACCAGAAACTGTTCAACTACAACCTTTGCATGAAATGAAGAAAACCTTTTGACTCTTTTTTTTATCCTTTTACTTCTTTCTCAAGTTCTAGGGGGCATTTGCACATATATTTGTACTCGACATTTCATGGGAACGGGGCAGCCCGGAGCTCGAAGGAGCTTTGGGGAGGGGAGGCTGAGGACCCGGACACTTCCTCTGAAGCAAAAATCAAGACGGACCCTGCCCCACCTCCCTCCCCACCGCCCGCCCGCCCACCGTTGTAAAATAATCAGAAACTTGTTCTATTTTGTGGCAGTGACAATAGTTTTATATTAAAAGAAAAAAATACAGTTTTCATACAGCAAAATCTATACAATATCATTGTTTTATTTAATATAAAGATCGCTACCCACTCTCCTCCCATGGCTCCCCCTCCCCTGCTGCGGTTGCACTACAGGTAGCCTACTGTGTGTTGTGGACAAATGGAAGATTTAACTCTTTTTCTGGCGTCCATCCTGTTGTATTTCAAATAAGGAAAAGCGTATTGGATTTTGTGTAAATACACCCAGTGATGGCATTTTTTTCAATGTTTTTAAAGCTGTGTACAGTACATGTGGTAGGACGTTTTCTTCAGATTGTCTATTGTAGCAAAAACGTTTTGTCGTAAACCTGTTTTTGTCTCCTTTTTTGTTCTCTTGCCACTTCTACCCTCAGCCCTTCTTCCCTCACGGCTAGTACCAATGTACATAGTAATTGTAATGTTTTAGACTTTACAAAAACTTTCCTGTATTCTGTATATAAAAAACCAAAAATACTTCAAATCATGTTTTCTGCCTGTCTGTCATGCCTGTCATCACCTTGAGAAGGGGGTCTTCCCATTCTCCCTGAACCCCCAGGGACTAATGGCCAAAGATGGAGAAGATGAGCCCTTTGGACAGTCTTCAGCCTTTCACATTATTTCTCCCAGGAAAATGGAAGCCTTTGTGAAATTTGAATTTTGAATGGATGAGATAAGGGAAGAGTCGTTGGCTCTTGTATCATTTGGGGTGAGGGTATCCTATTGTTAAAGGTCTTAAAGGGGTGTTAAGGGATACATGGGCTTCAAGGGCAAGACTGCCCAGAGGGTCCATGTCCCAGGAAAGGGGTAGAAGCCCTGCTTTGGAGGAGGGTTGTCAGGCTGACCTGCAGAGTCTAGTAATTGAGGAGGAGTGTGACACTTGTGTGAAAAGACCTTTTGATTCATGTGGTGATTTTGCATTTTTAACGAAACAAGCCTTGCCGTCCAAACAGCCCTGGTCTGATGATGGTGGAGAGATCTCATCTCTGTCAGTAGAATCTCAAGAGTTAGAAGACTTCAGGCATCCTCTCGAACAGGAACACCCTCCCCAACCACCATCCCATCCTCCCTCCCACTTCTTGGTAGCTGCTGTTGCTAGGAACTTCACCTTTCCCAAAAGTGAAATTCGCAGTTTCCACAGTCTGCTCGGGTGGTTTGTCCCCTGCAGCTTTGCCAAATGAGCCAAATCCCATTTACACATAGCAACCTTTCAAGCATCTTTGAAGGAAGCTATATTGAGAGGTAATGAATAGGGGCAGCACATTGGTCTGGGAGGAAACCTGGGCCCCGGTCCCAGTGATTTTTGTTTTGACCTCAAGCATCTCACTTCCCTTTTCTTCCCTATAATACAGGGTTGGGCTAGAGAGGAATCGGGGTGAAGAGCCTTAGGCATGCAGTGAGAGAGCTGGTTTAGATTCCTACCTCTGATGTGAGCTGTGAGATCCTGGGCAGGTCACTTCAAATCTGTCTGAATTTCCACCTACCTCACAGGGTTGTTGTGAGGATCAAGTCAGATCATGTATGGGAAGTTCATTGCAAACCAAAAAGTACTATATAAACATTAGTTTTTGTTATTTGATTTCATAAGGTCCACTGAGATGTGTAAACAGCATTTTCTAAACTGAAAGTTGCTATGATTGAATTTGAAAACACCCATCCTAAGTGAGAGGGTGATATTACCCCCTCAGAATCTTCTGAACTTTCATCAACCCAGAATTCTCTTCAGAGAGGTAGGCTATTTGGGTCTGTGGCAAAAACAGGATTATCCTAACACCTGCCTTATAGGTTAGTGGGTAGTCACTCAGTGTCTGTGGCCCAGATATTTCGAACTCTGCTACTTATCTCGGGAATATATAAACTATAAATATATGTAAATGGGTGATATATATATATATATGTGTGTGTGTATATACATATTTGTGTGTGTGTATATATATATATATACACACATATATATGTGGAAGAAAGACGTGCTAAACAAACTGTAAAGAAGGGAATATATAAACAGGTGAGGTCGATATTTGACGAAGAGGAGAAAGATGGTGATGAGTCAGAGAAGGCTCACTTGGAAAAGATCAGTCTTACAGTTGGGAAGGACAAGATGCTAGAGATTGGCTGGAGAAATTGGAGAAACAGTGGTGAGTACAAGTACATTATAGGGAGAAAGATGGGAAGGGACATGGACAAGGGCTGTCTGAAGACCGAAGAGGAAAGGGAAGGCATGAAGGACTTGGAGAGTGCCTATCCTGAAGCTGGCCTCCCCCTCATTCTGTGTCAAACACACACACACACACACACACACCACACACAAAATCAATTTCAGGAGAGCCTTGGATTCTGAGTCAGGGAAGCTGGCTCTCAGTCCCAAGTTCAACAATTACTACTTGTATGGCCATGACGTCTGTTTCCTGGTCCACGAAAGGAGGTGCAACTATAAATAGTCACTAAGGACCCTTTCACTCCTACTCTTGTGACCAGTGGACCTCTGAGCAGAACAGGGGCTTTCTGCTGGCCAGCTGTTAGAGGACTGGGATTTGAGCCCCAGCTCTGCCCACTACCACCTGTGTGACGCTGGGCACACCATGTCACCTCCCAGGCCTCAGTTTCCTCCTCTGTAAAATAGGACGGCCTCTGGGGTCCCTGTCCAGCTCTAGAGCTGGGAGACCATGGCCCAGGCTCGCAGTCTATAGTGACTCCTCGGTCACAACCTGCGCAGGTGAGCCGGGCGCAGTGCCCAGCTGTTGCCTGGAGGTGGCACTGCTGTCCCTGCCTGCCAATTTCTTGGCCTCGGTCGGGGCGACATCACCACCCCACCCCTACCTCAAGCTTTTGCTAAAATCAAACTAACACAGACCTCTTCCCCACCGGATGCGCCGCCTGAGCAGACCTGGGTGCCCCTGCCCCGCCCCTACGGGATCCGCGGCCCGGGCCGCTGGGGCAGAGCTGGAGCGACACAGAGCAAGTTTGAGCCCTGAGGTCTGCCATAGTTGGGGGAGGAGCCAGGCAGCAGGAATTGAAACCCACCAGGTTGAAATCGACCCTGTGTGCTGGTACCCAGGCGGACGGGACCATGGATGGGCTCCTGCTGGGAGCCGGGCTGCTCCTGGGCTCCTACGTCCTCATTTACTATAACTTCATCAAAGCCGTGCCCTGTATGAGCCCCATAAACCTAAAAGGAAAGACGGCCGTGGTCACAGGTAAGGAAGGGCCCACACACCTGAGCGCCTGGAAAGCTCTCCTCTCCTCCGCCCCTGCCCCCCATTCCCTCCAGCTCAGGCCCGGGGGCGGAGGAGGGAGGGATCTGGCGGATATCTGATGGGATCTGGGCCTTGGACATCGGAGCAGGAAGGGGCCTCGTCCTTCCCTTCTCCATCCCTCACCCCCAGCTTTGCTGATGCCGCCCGGGGGGGGGGGGCGGGCGTTTCAGGTGGCAACACAGGCATCGGGAAGATGACGGCTCTGGAGCTGGCCCAGCGTGGGGCCCGGGTGGTGTTGGCTTGCCGAAGCAAGGAAAAGGGAGAGGCTGCTGTCTATGACATCCGAAAGGTAATCGCGACTGCCCTTGAAGTCCGGGTGGCACTTTAGATTTTTCAGAAGTTTTAATTTTGTTACTTTTCCATAAACACATTCTCTCACTTGCATATTCCAAACTACCATGGGAGATAGCGTAGGGCAAGAGCAGGCTTTCTTAAATCCATTTAAGGGGTGAAGAAACTGAGGCTCAGATCATAAAAGTTACTTACCAGACGACCTGGGTTCAAATCTATTTCCCCCTTTAAGCAATTGACTTAATTTCCCAGTGTTTCCTCACTGGTAAAATACTAGAAGGCCTCTGAGGTCCCTTCTAGCTCTAGATCTGGAATCCTTTATAGATGGATCAGGGAACGGTGGGCCCAGGATTTGAGGATCCAGTTTCAACTTCCTCCTCACTACTTAACATACAAGGCTCAGTCCCTTCATTTTATTGGTGAGGAAATTAAATCGCTTGCCCAAAATCCCATAGGTAGGAAGTGGTAGAAGTAGATTTGAATGTAGGTCTTCTAATGCCAAGAAACAGGGTTCAGGGCCCACAGGGAAGGAGGCGGAAGGTGTCCAGGTGTTCTCACCCCCATCCCTGCACTGGTGTCTCCAGGACAGTGGGAACAACGAGGTCATCTTCATGATGCTGGATCTGTCCAGCCTAACTTCTGTGCGTTCCTTTGCCACTGCCTTTCTGAGCTCAGAGCCAAGACTGGACCTCCTCATCCACAATGCAGGTGAGAGCAGGGGAAGGAGGTCAGGATAAGGGGTGGGCCTGAAAGGTACCAGGGCTCAGGGCTAGTTCCTGGCCGTAACTGTGCCCAGAAAAGGGAGATGGCATCAGTATGCAAGCTATGGGTATGTAAAGATGGTTCACAGTTCCCATTTTATAGATAGTGACGCTGTTGGAAGTGGCATTGGAAATAGGAGCTAGGGATTTGCACCCTCTGCTCACCCAACATTGCTCTTTCCTTAGGGATCAGTTCCTGTGGCAAAGCTAAGGAAACCTTTAATCTGATCCTTCGGGTAAACCACGTGGGTCCTTTCCTGTTGACCCATCTGCTGCTTCCCCGGCTGAAGGCCAATGCCCCAAGCCGGGTGGTGGTAATGGCATCAGCAGCCCACCGCCGTGGGCACCTGGACTTCTTCCGCCTGGATCGCCCAGTCTGTGGCTGGCAGCAAGAGCTACGGGCATATGCAGATAGCAAGCTGGCCAACGTGCTGTTCGCTCGAGAGCTTGCCACTCAGCTTGAGGGCACTGGAGTCACCTGCTATGCTGCCCACCCAGGTGAGGAACCCATCATGGGTGCCACAATTCTGCTGTTGATTCCTGACAGTCCTGATTTCTGCCATTTGGTCATGGACTCTCAACCCACTTCCCACTTTTAAGTCCCAAAGCACCAGCACACTGCCCTTGGATTCAAGAAGCCCTGCATTCAAATCCTACCTCTGACACTTAACTAGCTCTTTGACCCTGAACAAGTTACTAAACCTCTCTGGGGTAAATGGCCTCTAAAGTTCCTCATAGCTCTAAATCAATAGCCTATGAATATCTAAGCTAAAAGGGACCTTAGAGACCACTTAATTAGTTCTAGCTCCACCTCTTATACCTCAGAGGAACAAACTGGCCTCTAGAGAAGGGACTTGCCCAAAACAATACAGCTAGCCAGTAGAAGACCTAGGAGTACAATTCACTTCTCCTGACTCCCCCATGCTTTCCACTGTAGTGCCTCCCAATCAGCTGAACACCCAAAGAGGCAGGAGGATGCAAAGATGAATTATTATTAGCTGGCCTCGGCATCCAGAAGACCTGAGTTAAAGTGCGGTCTCTGCGTCTCCCAATTCAACCCTGCAGCTGTTTATACTCTTGCTAAGGTGACAAAGCACATGCATGCAACAATCAGTTAGTCAAACAAGGCACTGACTATGTCCTAGGCACTGGGTGTTAACAACTAAGGATGCACAGGCCAAAGGAATATAATTCCTGCCCTCTAAGCGCTTACATTCCAACAGAGATGATATATACAAACTAAAGAAACAGTAAGGGCCAGGTCCTCAACAATAAAGTATAGTGAGTTCACCTAGGGGAAAAGTGGGAGATAAGGTTGGAGCTAGAATATGGAGAGCCTTTAATGCTGGGCCAACACTACTCTTTCCCTCTCTTGGTTTGGAGTCTCATCTAATCTCTCAAACGGTCCCTCCCATGCCTTGTACCAAGGTAGTGCCTATCCCAAGCACCCCTGGACGAGGAGATAGTATGGCACAGTGGAGAAAATGCTGCAAAACTCGGCACTGCCACTTAACATCTGTGTGACAATGGGCAAGTCACTTAATCTTTCTGCATCTGCTTCTTCATCTGTAAAATGAGGGCTCTTGACTTGATGATTTCTAAGTTTCCTTTCATCTCTAACTCTGAGCCTATGAGCCTCCACCCATGCTAGGCCTTCTGCCAACCTTGCTTCCATTCTCCCACCCACAGGTCCAGTGAACTCAGAGTTGTTTCTGCGCCATGTGCCAGGCTGGCTGCATTTGTTGTTATCCCCCCTGGCATGGCTGGTGCTGAGGACTCCAAGGGGTGGAGCACAGACACCCCTACACTGTGCCCTACAAGAAGGCATTGAGCCACTCAGTGGTCGATACTTTGCCAACTGCCACGTGGAAGAGGTTCCCACCTCAGCCCGTGATGACCGGGCTGCCCGTCGGCTGTGGGAAGCCAGTGAAAAACTGGCTGGATTGACTAAGGAGGGAACCCAGAACAACAGTCCGCAACTGGGGTCCCCACGTAGCCCGCTGGCCCAAGTTGCCACAGACCCAGCACCCTCTAGATTCCGAAACCTCTAGATTCCATTGCCTTCTGAGGAGCAGAGCGCACCATATCTGTGTAGCAGTGGGTTGGGGGGCTAAGAGCCAGAATCATTTCACTCTACGAAGGGGCTCTTAGGCCTGCAGTAGCAGCCATAAAAAGCTGTTAAGCTTCCCTCATCTGTAGAAGGAGCAGGTTGGATGAAAGGACCTCAAGGGTCCCTTCCTGACCCAAATCTGGGTCATCCACCTACACAGCTCACAGCCCCTCTGCAAGCTAGCTGATTATCCCTGAGAACAACTCACGGCCCCCTGCTCCCCCATTACACACCCTCACACACACACACATGCATGCATATGCATACACTCACATGCACACACATATACATTCCCATACATACACATATGCACATACGTACACACACACAACACACACATACATTCACATACACACACACACAATCGCTTGGCAGCCAGCCTAGAGATGACTAGAGTTGAACTGGGCTAGTGCCACTCCTGACCCCTTCTGTCTCCAGGAGGCCTTCAGAGCCTTTTCAGACTTTTCAGAGCCTAGACTCTACTTTTTGTTAAGGGAGCAGAGCTTTAGTGGAAGATGCCAGAAAGGAGGGTGGCAATTTAGGTGTTTACTTAAGGGCTTGGGGTGGGGGGGAGATAGAAAATTATTATTAATCCCTCTGGGGCTGGAGGTAAGGCGAGATGATAATCGTCCCCTGGAGGCTTTGGGGACGGAGGTAATTGTTGTGCTCTAGAGGTCCTGGGGATGGAGGTGCCTGGAGGTGGCCAGTGTCCCCCAGGGGCCCTGGGGATGGAGGTGCCTGGAGGTGGCCCTGCGGATGGAGGTGATGAATGATTTTTCACTTCCCTTCTTGAAGAAGGAGGAGCCGAGTGACTTTTATCCCCTGGGAGGAGGGGGAGGAAGGGTTTCTGTTTTTGCGGGACCAGTAAAGCCTGAATTTCCATGATCTCTGCGCGTCTCTTTAATGCGCCACACTCATCATGGTGGCAGAGCCACACTTCCTGTGGGGGCGGGACGGTAACCGCTGCTGTGGTCCGGACTGGGCGGGGTCCCAATGCGCAGGCGTGCTCGGCTGGCCTCTCCTGCCCCAGGTTCCCCCGCCCCGCCCCACCCCGCCCGGCAGAGGCGCGAGTGCGGCGGTGCAACCGGCCGTTGTCCCCCGGGTGCTCGCCGCCGCAGCCATGGGCAACTGCTACACGGTGGGACCCAACGAGGCGCTGGTGGTGTCAGGTGAGGGGGTGGGGGGCTCGTAAGGGAGGGTCGTGCTGGAGGAAGGGGCCAGCGTCGGGAGCGGGGACACCGGTGTAGGAGGGGTGTCAAGGAGAGTCGTGCTGGAGGAAGGGGCAGCACGGGGGTGGGTGGGGGGCGGGACGAGGAGGGGTGCCAGGGAGGGGTCGTGCTAGAGGAAGGAGCAGCATGGGGGGCAGGGACGAGGAGGGGGTGCCACGAAGGGCAGTGCTAGGGGAAGGGGCAGCACGGGAGGGGGGCGGGGGGCGGGGACGAGGACAGGGTGCCGGGGGGGGTCGTGCGAGAGGAGGGGGCCGCTTGGCGGGGGGCAAGGACGAAGAGGGGGTGCCTGGGAGGGTCGTGCTAGAGGAAGGGGCAGCATGGGGGGGCGGGGACGAGGAGGGGGTGCCAGGGAGGGTCGTGCTAGGGGAAGTGGCAGCAAGCAGCTCAGGGTCACTGCTAGGGGAGAACGGGCCAGCGTTGAGACAGGGATAGGATGTAGGAGGGCCCATGGGTGGTGGCGGAGGAATGAGCAGTTCGGTTGCTTGGGTTCAGGGGCAGTGCCAGGGGAAGGGGTCCCCATGAGAAGAGGGACTGCTCACCCCCATCCCCAGGGTGTGGCATTGCTGATGTGTCCCTACCCCAGACTTGCTTCTTCCCTGGCAGAGCATGCCAAGGGCTGAGATGCTGGGTCGGAGCTCTTCTTCCTTAAGACTGTCCTGCCCGTGCCTCCCTTTTGGCCCCGCTGGCTACCCCCCCCAACCCAGTGTCCGGGCATGTGGGGGGGTGAAGACTGCCTCCCTATCCTCTTCTTCCTTCTCTGCAGTGGTTGGTGTTTATCACTCCTCCCCCACTTTGGGCAGTGCCTGTGCCTCTCCTCTGACGTTTTCTGTGACCCCCACGCTGGGAACCAGGGGTAGCAAAAAATCGAAGACATGCAAGCCCCCTCAAAGGCTTTCTCTGGTAAAGGAAACCAGCGGTTTGGGGATATTTAACAGTACTGGCAGGTTTCCATCGTCTGAGGCTTAGCCACTTGTGGCGGAGGGCGTAGGGAAGCTAGGGGAGGAGCTTTCCCCTGCAGCCAGACACCTCCCTCCTAATTATGGGAATCCCCTTCCCCCACCCCGCTACTTGGGAGGGCCCTCCCCCAGGGCTAGGGATAAATCTGTTACTTTTCTGAAAAGACAAAAGAAAGCTCCAGCTAGAAACACCTGAGTAGCCCGTGTGGGCTTGTAGGCACCACCCTGCCCAAGGGGAAAGAAACCCTAACGAGGAATTTCCTCTGAGTAGTAGTTGTTTGTAATTGCTAAATGTTCCACGTTGGTAGAGCCTGAGCAGGTGCTGAGGCTGAGGTTTTTGGGGTGGAGGTGGGCAGCTGGAAGGCCCTCCTGAGCTTTGAGGTTGTAAGGATTCTTGCCCCTTCCCTAAAGGCAGTGTGGGTCTGGCTTCAGTCATCTCTCTCCCCTGTCAGGTGAGGATGGGAGAGCATCACAGTCCCACTATGGCTTGGTAGGAAGGGGACATGTCTGGCAGATATTGCTGAGGGAAGTCTGGGCCTGGGTCTGTAGGTGTGTGTACATGTGTGTGCGCGCATACCTGCGCTATTTCTGAGAAATGTAATATTACGTTTGGTGTTTTTAAACCCATGGGCCTTGGAGCCGCCAAGGTGTGGACTATGGCTTTGGGCCCAGCATTGATCCCAAAATCAAAGGCTTTTTCAGTTACCAAGGAAATCCTCTCCCTGCACGCCACTGTGCTAACGGTATTGGCAGCATGACCAGAGCCTTATGCCACAGGTACAGAGGGAGAGAAATACCCCTCCTTTGAGCTGAAAGGAATCCAGAGGCTCTAATCCAACCCCATCATTTTAGAGGTGAAACCTGAGGCCTAAGAAAGTGACTTACCCAAGGTCACACCCCTGTGGCAGAGAGGATTTGAAGCCTAACCCTCTGACTCCAAAGCTACCTCTTTCCATCGAAGCCCCATTTTCCCTGGTCTCTTTCCCATCTCTGTTGAATTTTCCTAAGGCTAAGAGATAAGATCTACTCTTCCCCTAGAACCAGGTAAAGAGTGATGAAGAGCTCTTTCTTCTTCCTTCATAACACCTTGTCTTCTTCCCCTTCCATCTCTCCCAAGCCTTTAAAAGCAAAATGTGATGACCACAGAGAGCCAAGGCCTCAGGCCATTTTCTTAGGGAGTGAGGATTTCCAGGCTGAGGAAACAAGGGGTGGGAGGACGGAAAGGTGGGTACTTCCTGGGCCTATAGAAAGGCAGAGGCAGAAGGTGGAGTTGGCTAGTCTCCAGATCTCAGCCCTGGCACCACGCAAGTGGCAGTGTTGTTAGTAGGGGCTTAGAGCAACCAGGAGGGAGGGACTTATTCCAACCTGCCCTTGCCTCATGGGAGCATAGATTTGGAGTTAGTCTCTAATTCACACACGTCCGTGGTACAGATGAGGAAACTGAGGCCCTGTGAGGTTGCCAAGGTGCCACCAGAAGTATGTAACTGATGGCTCCAGAGCCCAGGTTCTTGGCTTTGTTCCTTATCACGTCCTTTATCATGTGATATATGCCTGGGGTAGAGCTGGGGAGGATTGGAGAGGTCATGAGTCTACTCTCTTCATTTTAAAAAAATGAGTTTTATGGATGCCTTTTGTTTTTCACACTCTCCCTCCTAATCAAAGCCTCCTTTGTAAAAAAAAAAAAAAGGGAAGCTGATTTAGTGGAAAATTCCCCTGTCCAGTAACTGCCTGGGACACTGGCCTTGGGCCTGGCTGGCTCCCACCTTTCCCGCCGTGGGGAGGTATATGTGTCTTTCCTGTTCTCAGGAGATGTTTTTGACTTTTGCTTTGCTGGGAGTGTGTGAACTCTCCCCCACTTGTCCAGACCGGGAGTCCTGGGCTAGGAGCCTGCTCTTCATCCCCCTTCTCCACCCCCAGGGTTTCCTTGGAAGATGAGTCCAAGTCTTGGAATGTGCTTTGTTGTGAGCATTTCGATCCATCCTCCCATGTTTCTCAGAATTCCTCACTTTTTGAAAAGTTTTTCATTTGTTATTGCACAATAATATTCCATTGTATTGATAAGCCATGGTTTTTTCACTCATGTCTCATCAACACTCTTAGCACTCCCTTTGTTTCTGGGTCTTTCATAAAACGGGGTGCTATGTCAGTGTCGTTTCCATCTTTGACCTGCTTGGCGTATGTGCCCCTAAATTGAGATCCAGAACCCAACTCCTTTATCTCAGACAGGAAAGCAGAGGCCTTGGGAGGATAAAAAAAAAAGTGAAGGCCTTAGCCCTCAAGCCAGGTCTTCTGATGTTTTGGGCCTCTCTCTGGTGCTTCAGTCTGGGATTGATGTTCATCTTCTGGTGGAACCTTGAGGAAAATAGGGTAGGCTCATAACCCAGGCCTCTGCACTGAGGAGACCCCACATCCTCTTCCCCTCTGTGACTTCACAGGCCAAGAAAAGCCTACAACCAGCCATTTGAGCCCACCCTCCTTTAAGGCCTAGTCCAGAAGGATTTTGTTGCTATCTCCTGTTCTCCTGGACCTTTAGAAGTGAGCATGACCAGATCCATGGCCAACCTCTCTCCTTGCTCCTCAGAGACAAATTCCTCTTGTCTTAACTCTTTGCTTAGACCGTTCCAGTACCTCACAATAAAACGGGTGTCTGCACAGTGCTTTAATATTTACAAAGTTGGGGCAGCTAGGTGGCACAGTGGATAGAGCACTGGCCCTGAAGTCAGGAGGACCTGCATTCAAATCTGGCCTCAGACTGAACATTTGACACTTACTGGCTGTGTGACCTTGGGCAAGTCACTTAACCCCAATTGCCTCACTAAAAAAAAAAAATTTTACAAAGTGCTGGGGCAGCTAGGTGGCGAAATGGATAGAGTACCAGCCCTGGAGTCAGGAGGACCTGAGTTCAAATCCAGTCTCAGACCAGATACTTGACACTTACTAGCTGTGTGACCCTGGGCAAGTCACTTAACCCCAATTGCCTTGCCAAAAAAAAAAAACCTTTAAAAAAAAGATTTACAAAGTGCTTTCTGTGTGTTATCTGATCTGATCCTCACACAGTTTTATGAGGTAGTGACGTACAGGCATTATTGTTTTACAATAATGTTTTACAGATGTGCCAGCAGAGGCTTTGAGAAGTTAAGTGACTTGCCCGTGGTCATGCCGTTGGTAGCTTAGGTATCTTAGGTGAGATTTGAACCCAGGTTCCTCATAATTCCAAGTCTGATACTTCTTCTACCATGCAGCCTATCTTGAGAATTTGGCCTTGAGGATTAAATCTTGCTGTCTCCATGCCTGTTCTCCCCTCTCCTCCCAAGCTCACCCCCACAAACTCTCTTGGTTTCTAATGTCTAGTCCTTAGGCGGTCGGAAAGCCCCTTGGGCATCCAGTCCACCGCTTCTTCGCTTTAGCGGTTTCCAGGCCCTTTGGAAGATGAGATGCTGGCTTGTCATTTGGCCAGGAGATCGATACGCTGAGAGGCTTGCCTTGGCTAGGAGCAGGAGAGGGTGAGTGCCATTCATAGGCCAAGTTGGCGGGGTACGTGGAGCCACAGTGGAGGAAGCTGGAGAGGATACAGTCAAGGCAAAGCAGGCAATGGGGTAGTGGAAAGGGAACCAGATTCCTGGGAATCAGGAAACCTGCCCATGCAAGTGCCAGGGTGACCTTGCCACTCCCTCTCTGGCCTCAGCTTCCTTTCTGTCCAGTGAAAGGGTCACACTCCGCGTTCGCCGAGATCCCCTGTGTTTCCCACAAACTCACCAAGAGTGTGAGAAGGGGAAGAAGTGGCCGAGGGAAGCAGGGATGGGAGTGGAGGCAGGTGGCTGGAGGAGTGGGATCCCTCAAGCCACTTCCCGGTGGGGGGCCTGCAGGCCAAAGGCAAGGAGGGCAGGAAGGCCAAAGAGCCCCTGCTTGCTGCTGTTGCTGCTGCTGCTGGCCTGGAGCCCTGCCACTACGCTTTGGCCTGGCCTCTCTCTGATTGGCAGCTCAGACCCAAAGGTGGGCAGGGGTGGCCAGGGCCCGCATTCTTACCCCACCCACACCCAGGCCCTGTACCCTGGTGTTGGAGTCAGCCTGGCCATACCCCTAGGATAAGGAGGAGCGAGGTCTTAGGCTCCGAGATTTAAGAGCCAGAAAGGAGTTTTGCCCATCTGGGTGGGGGTGGGGCTCTTTATCCCGCGGTGCCTAGCACGTTGTTGTTGTTCAGTCCCATTCAACCTTTCATGACCCCTGGACCACAGCACGCTAGTTCTGTTATGGAGTCTTCTTGGCAAGGATACGGGAATGGTTTGCTATGACTAGCCCAGGGTCATACAGCTAGTGTCTGAGGCCAAATTTGAACTTAGGGCTTCCTGACTCCAGTCCCAACGCCCTATCGGCTGAACCACCTGGCTTCCTCTGCCGAGCATAGAGTAGTCACTTAGTAAGTGCTCGCTGGATGACTAACCCAACTCCCTCATTTTATAGATAAAAGGAAATGGGTCCCAGAGAAGTAGAGTCATATGCCCACCATAGAACAAGTGGTCAGTGGCAGAGGCAGATTTGAACTCAGGTCCTTTGTTTGACTTGAAACCCAATGCTTTTCCCCCTGTACCATGGCACCTGGCCCACGAGCAATGCTTGCTTAGGCCCCAAGACAAGCAGTGATTCGTGGACCTTCCTCCGGTTTCACTTCGTCCTAAAGAAGACTCAGATTTCCAGGTTGGTTTCCTGCTCTTTGCCTGCCCCCCCTGCCTTGGGTGGGCCAGCCATAGACTGAGAGAGCAGCAAGGTAGCCGAGGGACTGTGTGGTCTAACCCCTCAATGTACGCAGAGGTTAAAGACTTGACCAAGGTCACCAAGCCAGAATTGGAACTTGGATCCCTGGCTCCAAAGCTTCTGCCTCCTCATCTGTAAAACAAGATCAGTAAGGCCCTCCTTGGGCCCATGAAGCCCTCTCCTGTAGAAGCAGCCGGGTGGGTCAAAGCAGCCCTCAGGAGGAAGGAAACGGTTTCATCACCAGTTCTGGACAAGAAGGTCCCGGTAGTTAGCAAATTTCCCCTCCCTTGGGGCTCAGGCCTTTCGCATCCCGCGTGAGTCTCTCTTTTCCTGTCGTGATATTCCCTTCCCTTCTCGGTCAGTTTCCTGGTTGTCCCTCAGCTGACACACGGCTGCTGTCTGGGCAGCGCCTACCCTGTGTTACTGTCGCTGGACCCCTCTTTCTGATTCCGCCCAGTCGGCCCACCTGCCAGGACCGCCTCCGTCGCTGTCGTCGCCTCTTTACAAAATGTTTTCCAGAGAAGTCGGACCGATTCCTAGTTCTGTGAGCATTTGGATGAACTCTGTCTTTACAGAGTCACGAGGAAAGGGCTTTTTCAGTCCTAAAAGACTATAAATGGGAGTTACTCTATTACTGTTCCCCAGCCTGGATGCTCTAATTAGCCAGATGAGTGGCGCCCTCACTAGGACCCCAGATTCCTCTGGCCCCTCACCCTTATACGGTCTATCCCCGGCATTAAGGCCACTAGGGGACGCCATGGTGCACAGAGTGCTATGCACTTCCTGGAGTCAGAAAGACCTGAGTTCAAATGTGGCCTCAGACGGGTTGTGTGACCCTAGGCAAGTCACTTACCCCTGTTTGTCTGTTTCCCCATCTGTAAAATGAGCTGGAGAAGGAAATGGCAAACCACTCCAGTATCTTTGCCAAGAAAACCCCAAACAGGGGCATGAAGAGTCAGTCACCACCAAAACAACTGAACAGCAAAATGACGTCTCCTGGCCATGCTTTTGTTCCAAAGCCATTGAACACTGCTGGAGAAAGATGTGACACCGAGCAGAATGGGTCCTCTCCTGCCAGGCAGACTCTTCACTCTCTTCATTAGCAGTTGTCGCCCCACCCCCTTTCAACAGAACAGAAACCACAGCTGACACATTCAGTTATCACAAGCAGCCCTATAAGGGAGTCACAGAGGTGTCATCCCCATTGTGCAGGTGAGGAAACTGAGGCTCAGTGACTTGGCCAGGGCCACACAGCTAGTGAGTGTTCTAGCTGGGAGTGGAACCCAGGTTTCTTCTGCCTCCAGATATCTGATGCCATCTCTGTGGCTCCTTGGTTTGCACAGGTTCTCCCTGCCTTACGTCTGTGGGTCAGTGGCTGAGTCACTTCTCTTCTCTCAGATTCACTGTCTTCTTCTGTAAGATGGGAATAAAAATGCCTGGGGTGCACATGTTGTTTTAAAAAAGAGTACTTAAAAACCTCACAAGCATGGTAGAAATGTGAGCTGTCCTCCCCTCAGGGCTTGGCTTATGTTGCCTCTGACCACCCACCTCCTACCGTTCTGTTGTCTGTTCTTTCACTTTCGTTTTTGTGCCCTCTCTCTCCCTCCCTCCTCCCCCATCCGCTTGTCTCTCCTCCTCTTCTCCCTCCCTTTCTCTCTCCTCTTCTCTCTCTCTCATTCTTCCTTTCTCTCCTCTTCTCTCTCCCTCTTTCTCCCTTTCTCTCTTTCTTCCTCTTCTCTCTCCCTCTTTCTCCCTCCCTTACTCTCCTCCTCCCTTTCTCTCCCTCTCCCCTTCTTTCTCTCCTCCTTTTCTCTCTCCCTTTCTCCCTTTCTTTCCCCCTCCATTCCTCTCTCTCCTCCTCTTCTCTCTCCGTCTCCATCCCTGCCACCTGTGTGTAGCTGACACCCTTGCAGTGTCTTTTTCCCCAAATAGACCGTAGGCTTCTTCAGGCTGCAGTTATATCCCATAGATGCTTGTGTCCACGTGCCCTACACACATTCAATGCTTGCTAAGCATTTGTAAATGGTGAGGATAAGGTCGAGAGGATGTCTTGGGAGTTCAGAGCCAGCATTTCTCCCCAAATGAAGGCATCGAGAAATAGGAGGAGAGACTGCATATGGACCCAAGAGAAAACTGAATAAGAGGTAGAGTAGTAGATAGAACACTAACCCTGGAGTCAGGAGGACCTGAGTTCAAATGTGGCCTCAGACACTTAACACTTACTAGCCGGGTGACCCATGGCAAGTCACTTAACCCCAATTGCCGGGGTGGGGGGGGGAGATGAGTTGCAGGTTTGGGTTTAAGGAAAATCCTCCCAACAAAACAGACTCTCGGGGAGCAGAATGGGCCCCTCAGGCTGGCATGGGCCTCTTGGCAGGCCAGGCCAAGACTGGGTGACCACCTGTCCAGAAGAAAGTACCTGGAGATTACACCAGAGATGGCCTCTGCAGTCCCTTGCAGCTCCCAGATCCTGTGAGCTCCACACTGACAGGGCCTGGCTTTCTTGCTTTTCAGGGGGCTGTTTCAGTCCAGATGCGAAGAAGTATGTGTTTGGAGGCTGGGCCTGGGCCTGGTGGTTCATCTCAGATACACAGAGGTAAGGGCCTGCAGGGGAGAGGCGAGGAGGTGCCATGAGGGAGGGCAGTTGAGAATTACTCCTCAGTGATCCGAGCTGGTCCCTGTGGCTGAAGCTGCCCTGTGGGACCCAAGGTTTGTGTGGGTACAGGTAGCCTTGCCAGGTTGGCAGTGGAAGGCCTTCCCTTTGGGCCTGGCATCAATGGTATTCCAGAGAAGTGGGAACATCCCATCAGATAGCTTTGACTACATGCCTGTCCAGGCTGGGTGTGTGCTTGGGAGCAGGGAGAGCAGTGGCTGCCACCCCAACCCCTTCACCTGCTCTCAGAAATGGTCAGTTCCCAGAATCCTTCAGGGAAATATCTTAACCAGAAAATTGGGATGATAGTGGGAAACACTGAAGGAAGAGGAATTGAAATTTGAATCCCCTCCCTGTCCTGAGCGCCACCCCCAGGGGAAGATGGATCCCCTTCAGAGCTGTCGGGGCATCCGTAAAAGAATACGGCCAGAATTAGAAGCTGGTACTTGAGGAGTGGGTGCTGGGGGGAGTCACTGCCTCTCAAAGGCTCTGGCTTTCTGTTACCATCCCTTCTTCCTCATCTCCCTCCTTACCTCTCCACTCTACAGCAAGCCTTTCTTCTTGGGTCTTGGCGTCTGCTGCAGAGACTTGGCCCTACAGAAAAGCAGGGAAGGCCCACCCAGGGGTCTTCCCCCAAGGGAGTGACCTGCAGAGGATCGTTGTATGTCAGATACGCTGAGCCCCTTAGACTTTTCGACCCCTGCATTTTATAGGAGCAGAAAGCAGAGAGCTGAAGGCTCCGGGCAGGTGGTCCCAGGCCTTGGGGAGCTAAGCTCTGATGTTCAGGAAGATGCCACCAGCTCATACTTGGAGGTTTCAGCCCCTTCCTGTCACTTGGCCCGATTCCTCTCCCATTGTGACTCTGATAGGTTCATCTCTCAGGCATGGACCCACAGCCCACTTTCCAAGCTGACCTTGAGGGTGTTTGAGCTTAAATTCCAGCCGAGGGATTTCAGCCTCCTTGTGCAGACCAGCATTAAGTGGGACTCGTCCTGGCCCAGGCATCTGACCTCCCATCTGTCCCCAGCCAGGACTGGCCCCCCATCTCACTTTCTCATCTCCCCGCCCCCTCCCAGCATGTTAGAAGGTGTCTCTCTCTCTCTGATCCCTGGCTCTCCCTCTGCCTCTGGCGTCTGAGCTGCAGCCTTCCTCTCTCCTTCCCTCCCTCCCTCCTCCTCTCCCTCACGCTCCCCTTCCTGGCTTCCAGCACAGAGCTAGCTCTTTGAGCTGTCCTTCACTGCATCAGCTTCCAGAGAGAGGAACCTGGTGGCGGGGCTTGAACCAGGGAAGACACCCTAAGCCGAACCCCTGGGTGGCCCTTCTGTGGCACGATCCACACACACGCACACACAGGCAGGGAGGGAGGAACACCTGGGAAGAGGGAGAGGTGGGCCATGCCACGATCATCGTCACCTAGAATCCCAGAGGGTGGCAGAGGGAAAACATGGCCGGGGAAAGACTGCCAGCCTCTCCGAGGGGCCCAGTCCTGGGATGGCGGTTCCCTTCTCTGTAGTAAGCTCAGCCTTCTCGTGCAGGCTGCTGCTGACCCCCATCCCACCCTCCGTCTGGCAGCCTGGCCTGCTCCCTGCTAGGCAACCCCTCACTTGTTCCCTCTTTGCTTTTCAGATGACTCCTCCTGCTTCTCCCCTCCCCCCCACCCCAGGGGCTTTCACAAGAGGAACATAGATGCAATCAATTCCAGCGACCCATGTTACAGGCATGGGCCCCCAGCTGCCTCCCACCAAGCCATGCAATCCCCAGATGGTTCCTGCGTAGCTGGGGCATGCCCGATAAAATTCTGCTAAGCTGCTCTGGCTTCCTAACTGTGTTTTGTCAACTTTCAGATGAGGCTTTTGTCCCCTGAGCTATAAACACCTGAGCAGCCCAGGAGCTGTCCAGGAAATGGCCAGGCAATATATACTGTGAATAACCCCCTGGGTAGGCTGTCCCTCTGGGCATAATCGCCTGGAAATTGAGTTGTTTTTTGTTATTAAAAAAAAACCCTCAGATTTTAAATTTTAAAGAAACCTGCTATGTTTGCTGCCAAGCAGATTTCCCACAGGGGGGCCCCCACCCCTAATTGGGGAAAGGGAGCTTTCTGGTCTTTGGCAGGGGCTGAGGTGAACTCCCTCAGACTGGCAGGCAAGCTTTAACCAGTGCCACACAGAGCCATGAGTGCCAGGTCAGATCTCCCAAGCCCTCTCCCTGCCCCTAGAACCTCCATCCTCAAAGTCATTGGGAGGGGGTGCTCTTCCGACAGAACCACACCCGCATCCAAAGGCCTGAGCTTGTAGATGCCTGGGGTCGGGGGAAAGGGGTGAATGAGGTGCAGGGTGCCCGGCCCTACTCTGGGCATGGAAGATGAGTGCCTGTCTGGTAACCACTGTATGTATTTGCTGTGTCCCCCTTCCCTACTTTCCCTCTCCTCCTCTTCCTCTCCCCAACCCCCCATCCCTGGCTGCCGCTCAGACTGACTCTGGAGGTTATGACCATCCTGTGTCGATGTGAGAATATTGAGACGTCGGAGGGGGTCCCGCTATTCGTAACAGGGGTTGCACAGGTAATAACCCACCTGCTTCCTCCTTCTGTGTCTAATCTTTCCTTTTGCCCCAGTGGGGCCTGGCAGACAGCAGCTAGAGGACCAGATCTTGCGAGTGGGACCCTCTTGGTGTGGCATCTCCAGCCCCCCACCCCTGCCCCCACTTTGGTTGTGTGGCTGGCTTCAGCTGAGACGTCTCTGTTGCCTCTCCCTGCTCCCACCCCCAAGCGGCCCTCCAGACCCCGTGTTCCCCCACCTTGGGGTCAAGTCAGGAAGACAGCCAGGGATGCTGAGGACTCTGTCCTGACCAGCACGATGGGGCCTTCTGATGGACCTCGATCGGGGGGTGGGGGAAGGAGTTGTTTAGGGATGGGGAGCAGTGAATGCAGCTGCACTCAGCCCCAAGCTCTCTGGGAGTCTCCTGACAGCATCCCACCTTGGCCTCTGCTTCCTACGTGCCTCCCCAGCTCTCCTTTCCACCTGCCACACTCCCTTAAATGGCATAGTCTGCCCACCTGTGTGAAGAGGAGAGATTAAAGCCTGTGCAGATAAGAGAGGTGCCTGCCTGGAATCCAGGGCACATCTGGGGGAGCCCCACGGGACAGAGCAAGGGTCCAAGTGACCCCCATTCCAAGTCCTCCAGGATGAGCCCAGCCCTGCCAGCAGCTTCAGGGCCAGGAGCCAGAGTAGGGGCAAGTGCCTTCCCACCCACCACCCACCTGTTCTCTCAAGGAAACTGAGTCTCAGGTCACCGCCACACTGATCATTTCACTCATTCGCTTTCAAGGCACCCTTCGAGACAGTTCTTCCGGAGCAAAGCTCTGACCAGGAACTCGGGGAGCCTCGGCACATTCACTAACTCAGTGCATGACTGTGGACAATTTACTTCCACTGAATGGGCCTCAGGCTTCCCATGTGTGAAATGGAGAGAATAAACTCCCTTTGCCTCACAGGAATCCTGGGAGTGCAGATGAGAGGCGGTGCAGGCACACCTTACAAAAGAGTTATTCTAGAAACCTGAGGTTTTTTATTATTAGGATTATTTTGCTTTTAAAACCTAGGTGAATCTGGCATGGCCTCATCCTAACGAATTGCTCTTACTGGCTGAGTCTATTAGTTATCTGTTGTGGAAACTGCGATCAGGATCTTCCGGTGATGAGCAAGTAGCTAGAAGTCCCACTTTCTGTATTGTTGCCAAAACAGAACAGAGCCTCCATTCCATTATTGTTAGTAATAATTTAAAACAATAACGAGACAGTCTGCAAGAGACCTTGAAGGCATGTCCTCCGTCACCCTGCCTCTGGGCCCAGCCCTGGCTCTCGTACCCTTCGAACAGGCAGGGAGGCGTCTTTTTTCTGAAACATCCCCCCTCTGCCCTGCCTTGGCATCTGATCTCTGTTCCTCCCATTGCATCTGACTCCACAGAGATCTGGGGGTGTCCATCAGTGGGAAGGAGATCATGTGGCATCTCTTGTGGGGGCTGTCTTCCCATCTGGAAACTGCGCTTTCTCCCTCTCATTTTTAATCTCCCCGCCTACTTGTCCTTCCCTGTTGCCTGCAAACATGCCCAGGGCTCCCCCTCCTTAAGAAACCCTTCGAGCCCCCATCCTGTACTTCTCCGTTCTCAGCTGAACTCACTTCCTCTTCTGTTACTGGCTCCCAACAGCCTGGGCTCTGGCCTCGTCATTCAAATAAGCCGGCATCTGCAGAGTTACCAGTGGCCTCCTGATTAGAAATCCTGCTTATGTTCTGACTTGATCTCATTATCAATTGTATTATTAGTATATTATTGATATTAATATAGTCTGTAGTTTATGATTAACGTATTATATGTTAACATAGTAATTATTTTGTCTGGTTTATTTAATGTTTTTATTTTAAGTATCGTTATGTTACCAATATTGATACATTAGTATGTTATTAATATATTATTGTATATTAATGATAAATTAATGTGGTGGTTGTTTTATGAGATTTGTTTAATGCTTTTAATTTTTTCTCAGTTACGTGTAAAAACAGTTTTGAACATTTGTTTTTCATAATTTTTGAGTTCCAAATTCTGTCCCTCCCTTCTCCTCCTTGAAAAGGCAAATAATCTGTTACAGAGTAGAGCCGTGCGGTTATGCCAGTCATATTCCCATGCTGATCACAGATGTAATGGCCTTTGCTCAGTCATCTTCCTCGTTAAGCTTTCTGCAGTATCCAGCATCGTCGATCACCCTCTTCTCCTGTCTAGCTTTTCCTGACCCTGCTCTTCCCTCTCGGACTATTCCTTCACTGCATCCTCATTCACCCACCCCACCAATGTCCCCCCAGGTTTGTCCTCTTCTGCTCTTGCCCAATACTGTCTCCCTTGGTGGTCTCCTCAGCCGAACCCATGCGTTCAGCAGCCATGTCTTTCCAGAGGATTCCCACATCTGTACATCGAGCCCTAGTCTCTCTCCTGAACACCAGTTCCCCATCACCAACTGGGTTTTGGACATCTTGAGCTAGCTGTCCCATAGACATTTCTTTCTTTGTTTCTTCTTTCCTATTTTTTTGGAGGCAATCAGGGTTAAGTAACCTGCCCAGGATCACACAGCTAGTTGAGTGTCTAAGGCCAGATCTGAACTCAGGTCCCCCTGATTCCAGGGCTGGTGCTCTGTTCACTGCCCCACCATGGGCACATCAGACTCCCCACCTCGTCTGTCCTCCTCATTCCCACTCTCTCTGTCTGGCCAGTCCCTTGCCAGGCTTCACGGCCTCTCCCAGGTGTGTGCCCTTCTCTCCCCTCACGAGAGCACGGCCCTCGCTCAGGCCCTCCGTGCCTCTGCCCCGGCTTTCCGTTCTGTGTCCTTGCTTGATGTCCTCCACGGAGCTGCCTATTGAGTTCCACCGGCTCCCTGGGACATCTAGGGTCAGTTTTTGTATGAACTCCTCTGTTTGCCTTTTAATGCCCTTAATAACTCGGTCCCTTCCTGCCTTTCCAGTTTTTTTACCTCAGACTCTCCTCCACATACTCCATGATCTAGCTGCGCTGGCCTCATTACAGTTCTTGAACCCAACACTCCAACCTCCAAGCCTTTGCTTGGGCTGACCCAGATGCCTGAATGTCCATCCCCTCTCCGTTTCCCTGGCTCCCTTCTGCGGGAGACCTCTCAGATTGTCTTCTGTGAAATCTGGGGCCATGTTGTATGTTCCTGGTTATTACATCCTGTCTCTCCTGTTAGATGGAGCTAACAAGCCCCTTGAGGGCAGGGACCGGTTTTGCCTTTCATTCCCTCCTCAGTGCCTAGCACTTGTGCCTGCCCCATGCAGAGCAAAGGTTCGGTCCCTTTTGGTCACAAGGCCAGACACTTCAGCGCAAACTCTCCCCACTGGGGGTAAACTCCTCAGTGACTGACTGAGGACTAATGAAGGAGAGGGAGAGCAGATGTCCCAAAAGAACCCATTTGGCCGGTCTCCTCCTTCAGGCAAGCGTGCAGGCCCAGCTCCTCCCCAGCAGCCTTTGACCCTTCTTTGGTGTAAAGCCATGGCTACCAGTGACAGGACAGCACTCACTGACCTTTGTGGCATCCCAGGCCCCCAAAATCATCTCTCGGCCAGCGGTGGAGGCCCTAGACCAGGCTCCCCACCCCCACCCCTGCTGTCCCTGGGCTGGGGCCTTGGGAGCCCCTTTGAGCCCAGAGACCCAGCTTTTCTTGTGGGTGTGTTCCAATCTCAGAGACAGCTGGAGGTCAGAAGCGCCCTCCCTTCCTTCATTTCTGTGTCCTAGATGAGGCCAGAGGAATTTGACCAGGGGCCAGAGCCAAGATGCCAGGCTCTCAAGGGGGGAGGGGAGGTATCTTTCCATCCAGATTCTCCAAGAGCAGGTGACATCTCCTGGTGTGTCACTTGTGTTGGTTGGGGGTTGGGGTCAGAGAGAGACAGCCCTAGTTATACCATCCCTCCCCCCCAAAAAAACCAGTCTGGGAATAGAGTTCTGGGCTGGAGGCTTAGCTGACTTGGCCACCCTGTATAAATGCGGTATTGGATGGGGGCACAGAGCATGGTTATGCAACATGACAAGAATTCCTTGAACGCATGTGCAGCGGGCACTGTGCTAGGTGCTAGCTAACCAAAGGCAAAAGCAAAATGTTCCCTCAAAGAGCTTACGTTCTGCTGGAGGAAAACAACTTTTATGCAAAGATTTACGCACAAAGTAAATGCAAGAGTAGATCGTTGTGGGGTAAAGGGACTCGAGAAAGGGTTCAGCTGGAAGGAGGCACCAAAGCCAGGTTCTGAAGGAAGGTGGGTGTTTGAAGAGGGAGGGCCCTCTAAGCATGAGGTTCAGCATGTGCAAAGGCCCGGTGATGGGAACTGAGCTGCCCAGTTAAGATCAATTAATCTCCATGACTCTTCTCTAACCTTGATCAGAGGAACAAAATCAGGATTGCCGCAGGAAGGGGGAGCCCCCGATGATTGGGGTGATTTGGGGATGTTGAGTTGCAGAGTAGGAGAGGTTGGTCACTTTTCTCCAGTAGGGGTCAGCCTGACCCCTAATTCTCTGGGTTCTTGTCATTTTCCCTTCCACAGTACTCTCAAAATCTGTTCTCATTCACACGTCTCTTCACATACCTGGCCACCCCTAGGTGTCAGGAATATCAGCTACCATTCTGGTATCATTGCTCACATCCTGGGGGCAGGGCAGGAGGTGTTTCATCCCCAGGCTCTCTTAGAGCTCCTAGTTCAGTTACCAAGCATTTACTGTCCTCCAAAAGTTAATGATTTCTTCTGACCACGTCTATAAGAATCTTTTCAAAGGGGCTGTTTCCATGGGATGCAGTCCCCAAGTATCTTGGTTATGCCTCTTTCCTATGTGATCTGAGGCAGGAACCCCAGTGTCTCAGCTGAAGCCCAGAAGCCCCTTTGGCCCACCACCCTCCTCTTCAGAGACTTTGCCTCCACGGTATCAACTGTGCTCTGTAAAGCTCCAAAGTGCCTGGGCCCTGCCTGCCCTTGCTCTCTAGGCCAAGGCCCCTGGGCCGCCACCAGCCTGCCGTGGCCTGAGCACTTAATTCCGTCTCCACTCGGTTAGCTGGACCCTGAGGTACATGCCCTGGAATGGACAAAGCTCCTCGGAGCTCTCCAGTCCAACAAACATTAAACTTGTCCTGCCCTTTAGAACATCCCTAGTACAGCTCTTCTTTCCCGTGGTCTTCCATTTGGGCTAATGTGAGTAAGAATGGGGAGCAGTGCCCATATTCTGGTGGGACAAGCCAAGAATCTGGCCTGTTTGCATTCTCTTTGCTGACACCTGTTCTGCATCCTACCTTCATCCCCTGACCACATTGGCCCTGAGATCTCAGACAGTCAGCCCAGCCCAGGGCACCTAACTGCCTGCCCACCCCATGACCCTTGTGCCCAGCCGGAGTGACCGAGGTTGCTGGAGCTGCCCCAGCCACCCTCAGAGCTCTCGCTCTCAGACACATGCACATGTCTTACGTTTCTTGACAGGATTTCCCTAGAGATAATGACGTTGCAGCCCCGTTGCGAGGACGTAGAGACGGCCGAGGGGGTAGCTTTAACTGTGACGGGTGTCGCCCAGGTATAGTAACTCTGGGTATAGCCTCTGGGGCTGGGGGGAGGGAGAGAGAGGACAGGAGCCGGCCTGCTCAATCGCCAGGCAGTTGGAGACGTTCTCTCCACGACTACCCCCTCCCCAGTGGGGACTCAGGAACCCAGGTGAGGGGCCTCCTTGCCCCAGTCACTCTCCAGGGCCTGGCTTTAACCTCTCCTGCTTTGCCATCTCCATCCCGAGTCAGAGCTAATCACACCCACCTTCTCTCCTCAGGCTGGCTGGGTCAGCCATCCCCTCCCCAGAGGCCTCTGCTGTTCTAACCACCAGGTCTTTGTAGGTGTTGGCGGCTGCTGGGTCAGGCTGCCCACAAATCCACGTCCCTCCTGGGCTCTGAGAAAGGGCCTAGGTTCACTGGGAACTGGAGGGGACTGGATTAAGACCCTAAGAGAATAATCAGTAAGAAGAGTAATGTGTCTTACACTCACACTCTCTCTCTCTCTCTCTCACACACACACACACACACACACACACATACACGCACATACACGCTCACTCACACACTTCCTCTGACTGTGTTCCCTGATCTATTGAGACAGTCTTTCTCTGCCTTTCTCTGTCTCTGCCTCTCTGGGTGTCAGTGTCTCTCCTAGTATCCGGGAAGTCCTGCTTGTTTGGGAGGCAAGAGCCAAGGTGCTGATATGGGAGTCTGGGGGTGGGGAGTGGAGCAGGGACCCCGGGAAGGACCTGGGAGTGCAGGGATGCACGTGAGCTGGGATCAGCCCCCCAGGACTGGAGCAGGGGCGGTGGAGCACTGAGACTTCAGCTAAGACCTGCACACTGCAGATATGGGCATGCACAGAAGGTCCTCTGCACTTTTGGTGATCAGAACCCGGGCCAAACTTCCCCGTTTGTAGAGTGTGGTCTCGGGTGGTGGGGAGGGAACAGAAGCAGTCTGTGATGGTCGAGGAGCCACACGGGGGCCACAGGACAAGGGGTGGTAGAGCCATCCCCATAGGCCCCCTGGCCCAGGGCGAGGGGAGCAGACAGCTGCCCCAGCTTTTTATTTTTTTAAATAACACTTTGCTCCTGCTAATTGTCTCCTGGACTTCCTTCTCTGCAGGTGAAAATCATGACTGAGAATGAGCTGTTAGCTGTGGCCTGCGAACAGTTCCTGGGGAAAAATGTCCATGACATCAAGAATGTGGTGCTGCAGACCCTCGAGGGCCACCTGCGATCCATCTTAGGTGGGGTGCAGTTCCTGCCCAGGACCCTTGCCCCACCCCTGCCCTCCTTAGCCCCAAATCCCAGCATTGCCGAGTTGGACTGGACCTCAGAGATCATCTGGTCTAACCCGTACTGGAACAGGAATTCCCCGCCCAAATCCTTGACTGATGGTAATCTGGCCTCCTCTTTGAAGACCTGCAGGTAGGGTGGGGCCCACTAGCTTCTGGGAGAGCCAGTGGATAAAGTGCCCAGACCTAGAGTCAGGAGGACCTGAGTTCAAATGTGGCCTCAGACCAAACACTTGACACTTACTAGCTGTGTGACCCTGGGCAAGTCACTTCACCCCATGTGCCTCAGTTTCCTCATCTGTCAGATGAGCTGGAAGGGGCAGCTAGGTGGCGCAGTGGATAGGGCATTGGCCCTGAAGTCAGGAGGACCTGAGTTCAAGTCCAGCCTCAGACCAGCCATTTGACGATTACTAGCTGTGTGACCCTGGGCAAGTCACTTAACCCCAATTGCCTAAAAAATAAAAAAGAAAGAAAGAAGGAAAGAAAAGAAAATGAGCTGGAAAAGGAAAAGGAAACCACTCCACTATCTTCGCCATGGAGGGCATGGGTGTTGCTGTGGCCCATTAGGTCAAGAAGAGTCCGATATGACTGAAAACAGCAACCTGTCAGGAAGTTCTTGCGTGTGTCAAGCCCTGATCTATGACTTCCACACATCCCTCCTATAGTTCTGTCCTTCAGGGACAAGCAAAGCAAGTTAATCCCTCTTCTGCATGACGGGTCTTTACGTACCTAATCGCCACTCTGGCGCTCCTGCAGAGGCTTCTCTGCACGAGTATCCTCGTTCCCTTCATCCCAGGCCTTCAACCTCCCCTTCCCCTGGACACGGGCCGCCTTGTCCCAGGCCTCCCTCCCTGTAAGCACCTGGTCTGGTCCCAGCAGAGGAGGTCAGGAGTCAGTCCCCTTCCTGGCTCCGTACATTTCAGGGCACCCCGTTAGATCACTGATGCTCATTGAACCCAGAGTCCCTTGGGTTTTTCCAGATGTTTTTCACCTGATCCAGCCTGCCTTTTCCCCATCCCCCATCTCCACAGAGATGTGTCTGTCCCCCTGTAGTGGGGAGGGACAGAGCCCCAGGGCCATTTTAGTCACAAAGTCCAGTTGTGGAGGCTGAAGCTTGGGCCGCTGGCTGGGAATCCCATGAAAAGGCTGGGGCTGGAGCAGGAAGTCCTTGAGTTTAGATAGATGTTACTGCATATGTATAGCGGTCTAGGAAATGCACCCAGACTGTAAGGAATGCCAGCATTTTAAACTGAAAGATCTAAGAGAATGGAGAAGAAAAAAGCAATCCCCAACTCTAACCCTACCTCCAACATTTTAGAAACATCAGAGGACCCCACACTTAGAGCAGGACAGCTAGTTAAACTCCCTCGTTTTACAGATGAGAAAGCTGAGACCTAGAATGAGTAAGTGATTTGCCCAAGATCACACAGGTAGCAAGGAGCAGAGCTGAGATTCGAACCCAGGTCCTTGTGACTCTAAATTCAGGAATCATGACACTGGACCACAACCGCAGCCCCAGGGAAATGAGGATGCACCCAGGGCTTTAAGGGAGCCCCCCTCACCCCCATCTCCTCCCCTGCCACCATGTTCATACTCCTGTCTATCTGGAACAATCAGAAAGTTGATCTGGACAGGGAGTAATTTAGTAATTTGGCAGAACGATCAAGATGGAGGGGGGAGACAGTATGAGAGGAGCGCGGGAGGCTGGGGTGTATGCAGCTGCTTAGCGCTTGTCTCGAGGATCCAGTCCGATTTTCCTTTTCTTTATCTGTAAAATGGACCAGTAGGACTTAGACCCAGGAGCAGGGAGGGGGCCTGGGCCCCCCCACATGGAGCGACCTAGGGAGAGTCAACTTAACCCCATGGATGAGTGGTTCAGGGAAAGATGGGTCTAAAGAGATTGAATTAAGAACACTCAGGACAGGGTGAGGCAGTGAGGCACAGAGCAGCCTAGGCACCACCATCCACACCAGATTTCTCTGCCCTAGTCCATGCGTTCTCCAGGCTTGGGGAGTAAGGCTCTGATCCAGGCCCTGCCTGCCTTTGCCCCCCTCAGGGACCCTGACGGTGGAGCAGATCTACCAGGACCGGGACCAGTTTGCCAAGCTGGTGAGGGAAGTGGCTGCTCCCGATGTCGGTCGCATGGGCATTGAGATCCTTAGCTTCACCATCAAGGTACAGCCCTAGCCAGGGAGGGTGGGGCTCTTCAGCCCAGGGGCGCCCCGGCTCTGTCCTCTTGGGTCTGACTTTCCTTCCTTAAACTCCTATAGGATGTGTATGATAAAGTGAATTACCTGAGCTCCCTGGGCAAGTCACAGACTGCCCAGGTCCAGAGAGACGCAGACATCGGAGTGGCGGAGGCAGAGCGAGACGCGGGCATCAGGGTAAGGGGGAGTCCTGGCCTGGGAGGAGAGACCGCCGTCTGCGGCATAGGGCTTCCCGCCACCCCTGAGCCCAGGGACCCAGCCAGACTTCTGCTGCCCCCAGGAAGCTGAGTGCAAGAAGGAGATGCTGGACATGAAGTTCCTGGCGGACACATACATCGCCGATTCCAAACGCTCCTTCGAGCTGAAGAAGTCGGCCTTCACCGAGGAAGTCAGCATCAAGGTGAGGGAGGGAGAGGGGCAGGGGCAGGGAGGGGCGTGCGCAGCCTGGGCTCTAGAAGACGGGGCTGCAGTGCCTTCTCCTCTGGCAGACGGCCGAGGCGCAGCTGGCCTACGAGCTGCAGGCTGCCAAGGAGCAGCAGAAGATCCGGCAGGAGGAGCTGGAGATCGAGGTGGTACAGAGGAAGAAACAGATCGATGTGGAGGAGCAGGAGATCCTCCGGACTGCCAAGGAGCTGGTGTCCACCATCCGGCAGCCCTCAGAGGCTGAGGCCCACCGCATCCAGCAGATTGCTGAGGGAGAGAAGTGAGGGCCAGTGTCCCATGCCCGAGCCTGAGGGGCACAGGGGAGGGGGAGCCCTGCGAGATCTGGCTCCCAAGACCAGTGGGGAGCTGCTGTCCCCCCATCTGAGCCCAGCTGCACAGTAAAGGGATGGGGCAGAGGGCCTGGAGTGAGCAGGGAGCAGGGGTCCTCCAGTGTGGGGAATCTGGAGGCAGGGTTCCCAAGCCCGCACTGTGTGCTGAGCACTGAAAAGACATATGGAGAAAGAACAGTCCCTGCTCCCGAGGGGCTTGTGTTAATGGGGGAGAGAGACAGCACCTGGAAGCGAGTCTGATGGAAAGGTCCTGGGCCATGGCGGGCGGCAGCAGAGCCAGGCTGGGCTCTGACCACCATCTCGCCTCCCCCTCCCCCCCAGGGTGAAGAAGGTCCTCCTGGCCCAGGCAGAAGCGGAGAAGATTCGGAAGATAGGGGAGGCAGAAGCCATGGTGATCGAGGCCCTGGGGAAGGCCGAGGCTGAGCGGATGAAGCTCAGGGCTGAGGCCTACCAGCAGTATGGCCACGCTGCCAAGCTGTCCCTCGTGCTCGATGCCCTCCCCGTCGGTAAGAGCACCCCTCCCTCCTCACAGCCCCGCTGCAGCGGCTCTTAGTGACTCCCGGGCTGGGGGGTGGGGGCAGCCTGGAGGACCCCCGAGAGCGGCCTAGGGCTGCTGCCGCCTGTGGAGAAAGCTCAGCGTGTCCCGTCTGGGGACAGTCAGCACCCTCGGGTCGCGCCTGGACCAGGTCCCAGAGTGATGCTCCCTCCCCCTCGTTTGGCACACCGCGCCCCTGCCGTCTTGAAGCTTCTGTCTCTGTAAAGAGGATTGCCGGTGCCCCATCCCCGGGCCGGCGGGGAGCAGGGAACTGGGGGTGTGTCTGGAAGCTTCCCAGGAACGAAGGGCCATCTCCCACATTCTAACCCCAACCCTCGTGGCCTAGATTGCTGCCAAAGTGGCTGCCCCACTGACCAAAGTTGACGAAGTCGTGGTGCTCAGCGGTGACAACAGCAAGGTCACAAACGAGGTGACTCGCCTGCTCGCGGAGCTGCCGGCTTCCGTTCATGCTCTCACTGGGGTGGACCTGTCCAAGGTGAGGCTGGGCCCCTGACCACAGGAGGGCGGGGTGGCAGGTGGAAGGGTGGCCTCTGCCGTGCCCTTATTCTCTCTTCTCTCTGCAGATCCCTCTGGTCCAGAAGGCGGCCGGGACCCTGGGCTGAGGAGCCTCACCCTGCCCCCTCCCCGCCCTCCTACAAGGATTTTCCTACCCAGGGACAATAGAAGTTTTACTGACTCTGGTGCCTGATTTTGTGGGGGCCACGAGTGAGGCCAAGCTCAGTCCATCCCCGTCAGTCTGTCTTGTCGTCCTCTGCTTCCTTTCTTCTTGTCCTCTTCTCCACCTGTCTCTTCCTCCTCCTCTGTTCTTTGTCTCTTGTGTTTGTGTGTGTGCACACTCTTTCCTCACCTCCACCAATCATAGTTTAAGCTAAGGATGTTTGCAATCACTGTTTGTCTCTGGGGAGCGGCCTGGCCGCTCCTCACAATCCTGGTGCCTTGAAGTTCCTTGGCCATCCTTTTGACCACCCTGTGGCACTAGCCAGGGTGCAGCACGCAGGAGGAGGGTGGCCTGGGCCAGGGAGGCCTGGAGTTGTTCTGCCTGCCCCTGGGAAGCCAAGGCCTCTTGAGCTTCTGGGCCAGAGACGTCATGCTGCCTGGTACCCTCGCACTCCAGCCAGCCGTCCGGGGTGAGGAGCCTGCTGCTTTGTAAAGGCTCTTCTGACTCACCTGTCAAACCGCAGCTTTCTACAATCTCTCCTCTCCCCGGGAGAACAGTGGAGATGCCTTTTGTTTTTCCAGCTGCCAGAATCCATTATTGGGTATGGGTTGTTGGGAGGCCAAAGGAGGGGCAGGCCACCCCCCGTCCTCCTCAGGGGCTTCACCTTGCCCAGTACTGTACCAAGAGGAGGAGGAGGCTGTCTGGGTCGGCGTGCATGTCCCTCCCTCCTAACTCAGGGTTGCCTCCTGCTTGGGCATGACCCGGGGACAGGGAGTGGGCAGAAGGAGGTTCCCTACTGGCTGAAGGTTCAGTCCATGCACTAGGCCGGACTAAGCCCAGGGCTACCTGCCCAGGGAAGGGCCGTGGGAGAGGGGAGCTGGCTAATCTCCCGCCCCTTTGCATCCCAGTGGGTGGATGGATATTTGCCACCACTGGCCAGATTCCAGGGTTGCTGGGCCCGAGGTGCTGCCCTTTGCCCAGGCCTCCACATTCCTCATGCCACCTTACTTTTTAACCCTTCCACGGGACATGTCCCAGGCTCCATATTCTTGTTCCTTCTGCTCAATGCTCAGGAGCCTGTCCTAGAAAACCCATAAAAGTTCCTCCCAGCTTGTATGTTCCGAGAGCCGTTGATGGGGCAAGGAGCTCACCTTCCTCCTCCTAGCTTGTCCCCAAATCCCAGGGGCCCTCGCTCTTCGCCAAAAGAGAGAAGGCGGAGAGACGGTTGGCCAGAGGCTGGGCCAGGTGTATCATCGAGTGTTATGGGGTGGACTGAGCTGAGGAGGGCACCAGCTGGGAGCATGGAAGAAGCTGCCTAGGCGTGGGGTGCTGTGGGCATCCCGTCTGGGCACAGGCTCAACCCTACGTGGCAGGCTGCCGGCCTGTGTCACTGTCTGTGCATGCGAGTGCTGCATGTCTGGCCTGGGCCCTGCTCCCTTCCCTCTGCTATAATAAAGACTCCTTGCACCCAATTGGCTACACTGTGTCCTCTGTGCAGGAAGGAAGGATGGAAAAAGGGGCTGGGTCAGGTGAAGCTTATTGCTGTTTCCCGCTATGTCCGCCAGAGGGCAAGAGCATATTAGAAATGTCAGTGACCCCTGACTAGAGAAGGAAGGTCAAGGTGCCAAGGGCAATGTCTGACTGCCTCGAAATTCAGTCTGGGGGAAGGCATAATGATGACATAGACCCCTTCCACACCCGGATCTCTATAAGCATCATGAGATAATACAGAAATGAAATTTTGATAGACTGCAAACTTAAGAAGCAATTATGTGCATTAAAAAATGAAAATAGGATTAGGAGCCTATCATAGCTATGGCTAAAGGAGAGTTATTAACCAGGCTGGACACAGTCACAAAAGAAATGATATTGATTGTGCTCAATTCAAGGCCTTACATAAATCGTCTAGCTCTAGGATAAAAGGGAAGTTGACAATAAAGAAAAATAATCAAATATCACTGATGAGATCTGTAGAGAACTAGAATAAGGTCAATAGCCATCCCATGACTGAGAAGCAGTCAAAGCATGCAGCTGACAAGTTTTCAAAAGAATTGCAAACTCTTAGCCATAAGAAATAAAGTTCCAAATCATTAATAGTTAAAAATGCAAAGGGTTTCTGCTGGTGGCCAGTTGGCAAAGATCACAAAATGGAAATAGACCATTTTGGAGGGGCTGTGTGTGAAAAGAGAAGTGTGCTAATAATTGGAACCATGAATTGGTCAAACCATTCCAGAAAGCAAATCAGAATTAAAATCTTTTTTGATGTCCGTTTCCTTCAGCCCAGAAATCCCACTGCTAGGTGTGTGCTCCTAAGAGGTCAAAGACATCTTTTTGCCATCAAAATGTTTCTAGTTTTTATTATAGCAAAGAGGTGGGGGAGAGGATGGGGAAAATATATCCATCTACTGGAGAATGACTAAAACTATAATGTGTGGAACTGTGGGGCATAGAATATTGCTATATGATGAGAAATATAGACAAGCATGGGGAAATGTAGACCAGGAAAACTGTAGTCACAAAAACCATGACAATATGGGGCAGCTAGGTGGCACAATGGATAGAGCCTCCAGCTTTGGAGTCAGGAGGACCTGAGTTCAAATTCAGCCTCTGACACTTACTGTGTGACCCTGGGCAAGTCACTTAACCCTGATTGCCTCACTAAAAAAAAAAAAAAAAACTTTAAAAAAACCGAAGACAAGAAGTAGAATTTAAAAAAAAAACACTGCTGTGTAATGATAGTGACAACAGGGGCCTAGAGAAGAGATTAGAAAATGAATTACCCTCCCACCTTTGCCATGGTAGGAGATGATGTTGGGTGCGGCACATTGCATGTACTATCAGACTCAGTTGATGTGTTGGGGGTTTTGCCTCATTTTTATTCTTTGTTACAAGGGATAGTTTGCCAGGGAAGGGAGGGAAGGTGAATGTATTTTCAAATGAAGATGATGTAAAAAGAAATGTCAATAAAAATACTTTTTTATAAGTCAGCAATGGAAGCTCAAAACACTAGCCCTAACTGTAACTATATAGAAACAAAAACACGTGTAGTGCCCAAAATGGGGGGGAGTATATCCCCTGTAGTATTTTTTGTGGTCCCATTACCTCTATATTATCGTGCTCAGTTCTAAGTGTTGTGCTTTTGGAAATTGTATCCGGAGGAAGGCGCTCAGAGAGTGAGGGTCCTAAAGACTGCCACAAGACAACCGAGGAAGGTACTGGCTGGGGGCGCCTATCCATGCAAAAAGACTTAGAGGGGCTGTCACGTGAGAGTATATGGTGTGCTACAGAAAATCATCTGTGAAGATCTTCCTGTTCACTTTCCATAATCATAGATGGGTGATAATAGTTAGCATTATTGAAAACTTTTAAAGTTTGCAAGACACTACAAATTCATTTCATCTGATCCTCGTGACTGCTCCGGGAGGCCAGTGTCATCATTACCCCCATCTCACCAATAAGGAAGCAAGGGGACTAATCCCAACCACAAAGGCTCCATTACGTTGCCCACTTACTAGAGGGCCACAAGCAAAGACCAGATGACCACTGGTAGAAGCTATTAGAGGGATTCTTGTTAGGTGTGTGTTGAACTAGATTATGAGTTTTTAACCTGTTTTGTGTCGTGCATCCCTTTAGCCATCTGGTGAAGCCTATGGGTCCCTTCTCAGAATGATTGTAAATGTATAAAATAAAACACAAATGATTACAAGGGGAAAAAAAACAAAGACTGCATTAGACTTGACTGGGACTGTGTTTGCTTTTCTTTGTAGCCCAGGGCTTAGCAGAGTGCCTGGCATATTGTAGGTGCTTAATAAATGTCTAATACCCGACTCCCACCCATTCCATCCATTGACTGAGAAGTGTGAAGACATATGTTTTCAGGGATGGTCAAGTGTGAGTTCATCCTTCTTGTCTCTACTTACTTGTCCTCAGCTTGGACAGACTTCAGGAGACAGCAGAGGACAGAAGGGCCTCGATTGCTATGGTCCACTGGGGGGATGAAGAGTCAGGCACAACTAAAGGGCTGAGCAACTATTTATTTGTCACACGGGAGGTTCTATTAGGGGCTTGGGGAAAGGTAAAGAAGAGTCATTGGAAAGTAGCAGATATAAAAAACAGTATCAAAAAAAGACAAAAACTTAAAAGACTTAAAGACTTTAAAAAAAAGAGTTTGAAGCATAATGACATGATTATTCATAAAGTATCTGGAGAGAAGGGAAGGGGATTAGGGCCTGGACTAGGGGATGCAGGGCCTAAGGCATGGGAGAGAAATAGGAGGAGGGAGGCATTGGACAGTAGGATGTTAGCTCTTACAGGGAACAGACTATCTGCTTTTGTACTTCTATCCCCAGCTGGTGTCTGGAACATAGTAAGCTTGTTGATTAATGGACTGAGAAAGAATGAAAAGAAAGAAAAGAGGGTCACTGGTACATGTTCTGAAATGCCCAGAAGAGGACAAAAGAAAAGCCACAAGGAACCACAGATGAGCAGGTTAATGGTAGAGATTCACAGCATCACCTCAGTGCCACTCTGTGTATGGAAGTGCCCATTTCAGGCAGTGTTGGCTAAGTTTAAAATTTTTTAATTGGGAGAAAAGATGAAGAATGATGAGACCTGAGACCAGGCAGAGGGACAAGCAGAGTTTGGAAAGGACCCTGCAGGAAGAAGTGGAATTGGGGAAAGACTAGCCCCACCAGACCATTTGGTCTTTACTCCAGTTTAATTTTGGAATCAGGAGACAGCCTTGAAGGGTTCCTGTCCTGAGATCAAAATCCCCTGAGTTCAAATCCAGTGTCAGACACTTGACACTTACTAGCTGTGTGACTCTGGGCAAGTCACTTAACCCCATTGCCTAGCCAAAAAAAAAAAAAAAATCTCCTGGACAAGGAGAGGGAACTAAAAAGGAGCTCCCTTGGAGAAGAGAGACGTGGCTTCTGCTGCAGCCTGGCTCATTGGGATGTCGTTGGGGAGGCATCAGCAGAGCCCAGGGCCCAGGAGTTATTCTGCTTCCCTCCCCTTCGTGGGTACTTTCGAGTGGTTTATTAGCAGTAACTTGTCTTCAGAGTAAGGGAACAAAGAAACAGCCTAGGTTCAGATCTCACTACCCTGAGGAAGTCCTAAGTGGAGTCGATGAGGGCCCCTCAGGGTGATGGCTCCGGCCTGGCTCGGCCTGGGAGGAATGGGGCTTGGGAACTGAAATCCTGCCTATTTAGGATTGGAGGGCCAGGGCAAAGCAGGGGTTAACTCTCCCGGGTACCTTCTTTGTTGGGCTGGGCTGGCAGGGGTGGGAGGGCACCCCGTTTAGCCAGATAACCGTGGTCCCTTATCTCCCCACAAACAGCTGGAAGAACACCGGCCCACCCTGAAAGCAGGAGAGGTTGGGAGAGGGGGCCTGTAGGTTCCCTGGGCTTCTCCCCCCACCCCACTCCCCATGTTTTGTGATCAGGAGGCTTAGGAGTTTTCCCAGGAGTTAGACACCACGCTCTCTTTGGGCCAAGTGAGTCTGGCACTGACTGTGAACATGGGAGGCCCCAACCCCATTTGCAAACAGCTTCAGGGCCTGGGACTGGGAAGCTATTTCTCCTAGAAGAATGGGTCTTTGTAAGTCCTGGGGTCAGGGAGCTGCCCATCCATGGTAATATCTAAATTCATTTCAACAGTATTTATCCCTACTTCCACACGTCTGTACCACTGTATCTCTGCATGTGTAAGAATTTGTGTGTGTATGTGTCTTTGTGTGTCTTTGTGTCCGACTATGCCCTGAACTAATCCTAAAAAAAAAAAACCCTTTACTTTTATCCTTCTATTCCACTTAGCTAATAATAATAATAGCTAACATTTACTATACAGTGCTTGCTATGTGCTGGGCGCGGTGCTAAGCACTTTAAAAATATTTCATTTGTTCCTGGGAGGAAGGTGGTGCTCTTATCCCCATTTTACAGTCCAGGACACTGAGGCAAACAGAGGTTAAATGAATTGCCCAAAGTCACACAGCTAGGAAGTATCTGAGGTCAGATTTGAACCTAAATCTTCCAGAATCCAGGTCCTAGGGCCCCATATCACCTAGGAAGGATGTCCAGAGTAGGAATGTTTGGAGAACAATCGTGCTAGACCCTCAAAATACAAAGAAAAACAAAGCAGTCCTTGCTGCCTGAAGGAACTTCCATTTTGAAGGGGAATAGGGGGAGAGGAGTGCCCCAATCTCCCACACTGAGCCTTTGCTCAAGCTGTACCCTCCACCTGGAATGCCTTCCTTTCCTTGTTACATGCCTATCCATCCTTCAAAGCCCGGCTCAAATGCCCCCTCCTCCAGGAAGCCTTCCTTGATAATGACCTTCTCCTTCCAATCTCACATAACCCTTTGCTTTGTAACTTTTATCATATGTTATAGCTCTTTGGTACACGTATCACGTGTGATGTGGCCTACGACAGCTGTTGTATCCATGGTGTCATCCCCTGTTAGTAAGCTCTTGGTGTCATCTAAACTCTGGGATCTCCTCCCTTGCCTAGCATAAGATTCTGCATGCAGTAGTCGCTCAATAAATGTTGGTTCATATCAGTGGGTGTACGTGTGTATTGGAACAGGCAGGCAGCTGGACTTGGAAGTTGTTTCTATTTTCCTGACCCCATGTGGGGTTTCTTGGCAGAGATACTGGAGCGGTGTGCCATTTCCTTCTCCAGCTCAATTTTACAGATGAGGAAACTGAGGCAAACAGGGTTAAGTGACTTGCCCAGGGCCACACAGCCAGTAAATGTCTGAGGCTAGATTTGAACTCAGATCTTCCTGACTCCAGGACCAGCACTCTATCTGCTGCACTACCCAGCTGCCCTTTGGAAATGGAAGACCTAAATTCAAGTGCTGGCTGGTTTTGTCATTTCTTGGTGGCATGAACTGAGGAAAGTCACCTCTCCTTCTGGACTTCAGTGCCCTCAACTATGAATCAGTCAACAAGCCTTTGTTAAGCACCCACTATTACACGAATGGGTTGAATCAGAGGAGCTAAGCACTTCACCTTCTTTTGCATCCTAGACCCCTTCAGCGGCAGTCTGGGAAAGCCTGTGGACCCCACCTCGGGGTCATATTTGTAAGTAATTGGAGCAAATGCTCCATTTCTGTTCAAGTGGGATGGAGAAGCACCTTTCTGCCTGGGGGAGGCAGGGGAGGTGTAATGGATGACCTGTGCAGGAATCAGCCCTGGGTGGGGGACGCTGACCAGCCCAGGCCTGGATCTTGCAGGCTCCTGATAAGCAGAGGGTCCCTGACACCCTCCCTGATAGCAGACTGGTTCTTTATCAGGGTCCTGGCCTGGCCAGTCAGCTCCACCCCAGGCCACCCTCCAGCCTCCTGGACCCAGCAAGTCTCTGAGCTCTGTTGGGACTTGGGTGTGGGCATACACAGCCTCACCCTTCCCCAGACTCTTGTCCTGTCCAGTTACCAATATGGTTCTAGATTTCAGTTGTGTTTTAGGCTTGAGAAGACCCCAGGGACTGAACAACGGCCTAGGTGGGCAGAGGGTTGAGGTTTCGGTTTGGGTGTCAACAAGAAGCTAGGGGCACCTGTACCCAGGCAGGGGGCTGAGGTAGGCAGCACTAAGAAACGAGAACCAAGTGTGGAATGAATGAATCAATCAATGATAAACACATACTAAGGACCTACTATGTGCCAGACACTGGGCTAATCACTTGTGCATGAGATGGAAGTTTGCCTGGGGGACTTGGTGCCTAGATGCGCCCCTACACAGGTCAGGATAGCAGTGAGGAGAAGGGCATTTGACCAGTCCTCCATGGGCGGAGCACTCATAGACCAAGGAAGTTACCTGGGCCCTCGAGATCTCACGACCTCTGGGCCTCAGTTTCTCTAGAATGGAGGAGGGGTTGGCCTAGAGAGCTCGAAGGGTCAGCCTTTCAGCTCTGAGTCTGTGATCCTGTGCTCTCTCTACCCTGAGGCAGGGCTCTCTAGCCCTGGCCAATCCAGAGAATAATGTCCCCCAGCACCCACCATAGGAAGGCAGATCTTTCCAGCTCACAGAGACAAGATGCCCTCTGTTACATTACCTCTAGAGGTGCCTTCCACTGAGGGGCATCATTGCCTTTGGAAACTCTCAGGCACAACCTACAATAGGCCAATGGGACGGGGAAAAGGGGGTGTGCTGCTACATGGTGCCCAGCACTCCAGGCTGGCTGCTGATCAGGCAATTCCCGAGCACTAAAGAACGTGGAGGGGTCTAAGGGTCAGACGGATAATGCCCTGACACAGATATAGGACTTCAGAGTTTGCAAACTTCTTTACTTACATAGATCATCTCCCCTGAGCCTCAGAGCTGGCCAAGGTAGGTAGATAGGGTCTGCAGGCATCATCCCTCTCCAGCTCCCCTATTTCTCCAAGGCCAGCAGCATCCTTCCCCACTGCCACGCCAGCCCCCACATTCAAAGGGCTGGCAGGTCTCCTGTACTCTTCCTCCGCTCTCTCACACCTCTCTTGATCGCTAGCAGCCCCGAACAGACTTCACCTGAGCCCTAATCTATAACAATAGCCCCTAATTGATTTCTCTGACTACAGGATCTCCCCTCTCCAATCCCTGCTCAGCTCAGACACAAAATTGAAAGTCACACAGGTCTCACCATGTCACTCTGATCAAGAAGCTTCTACTTTTTTGGGGAGGGTGGGGGAGGCAATTGGGGTTAAGTGACTTGCCCCAGGTCACATAGCCAATACTCTACTGAGGCCCAGATTTGAACTCAGGTCCTCCTGACTCCAGGGCTGGTACTCTAACCACTGCTCCACCTAGCTACCCCCAGCTTCCAGTTTTCCCTTACCTCTGGGATAAAATACAAATTCCTCAGCAATTTCCAAAGCCCCTTCACTACCTGCCTATGTTTGTAGATTCACTTTACATTATTGCACTTTTGATCCAGCCAAACTGGATTATTTGCTGTTCCCTTTATGAGATATTTCTAAGTAGTACAGTGCATAGAGTAGTAGATCTGGAGTCAGGGAGACCTGAGTTCAAATCCAGGCTCAGACTGGATATGTGACCCTGAGCAGGTCACAGTTTGCCTCACTTTCCTCGTATAAAATGGGGATAATTATAGCACCTACTTCTTAGGGGTTTTGTGGGGATCAAATGAAATGATACTGGTAGTGTTTCGCAAGCCTTAAAGCATCGTACGAAGTGCTTACTATTATCATTCCACCTCTACACCTTTACCCAAGCTGTGCCCTGTGCCTGGGATGCCCTCCCTCTTGGAAACCTTAACTCCCTGCAAGGCTCAGCACAAATGTCATCTCCACAAGACCCTCCCTCATCCTTCCAGGTTGGTCCCCATCCCCCACTTTTTATTTACTTATTTGTGTACATGTTGTGCCCCCCCCCACTAGAATGGAAGCTCCTGGACAATAGGGAATATCCGTTTTCATCATTGCATCCCCAGGGCCTAGCACATAGGATTGATGTTCAGTGGTGCTCAACTCTTTGTGAGCCCATTTGGGGTTTTCTGGGCAGAGATACTGGAGTGGTTTGCCATTGCCTTCCCCAGCTCACTTGACAGATGAGGAAACTGAAGTGACTCGCCCAGGTTCACACAGCTAAGTGTCTGAGGCTAGATTTGAACTCAGGTCCTTCTGACTCCAGGCCCAGCATCCTATCCACTGTCATCTAGCTGCCCCTACAACATGTTATATACACGCAATATGTTAATTTGGTTGAATTGAACCGAATCCCCTCCTTAAAGAGGAGAAAACTGAAGTTGAGGTGGCCACCGGTGGTCACGGGCTAATGAATGTCAGTGGAGGGAAGGGAAACCAAGCTGTCTTGGCTCCACATCGGGCCCTCTGCCACGCAGAGGAGGGGGCCTGGAACATGAACAGAGGCTGCAGACTCACACTTCCCCGGCTGCGCCTGGGACCTTCCCCGAGAGGTAGGGGGCAGCCTCCAGGCCAGACTGGGCATCTCCTCAGCCCCAGTTCAACCAAGAATCCCTCCAGAAAGGGTTAAGGGGAGGAGCTCAGCCAAGCCAGCCCACCCCACCCTCCTCAGGCAGAGGACCCCACCCAAGGGGAGGAGCCAGAGGGGTTATAATGAGGCCAACCGAGCGGCCAGGTGGAGACAGGGGCACCCGCTCCCCAGAAGATGCCAGCAGCTCATGGTACCAGGTAAGTGCCCAAGAGACCCAGCCCTCTTCTCTCCTTTATCCTGCTCTGACCCCTCTCTCTCTTTCCGAGTTTCCTAAACTCCTTGGTCTGTTCTGGCTTGCTTGGCAAGCCATCTGTCCCCTCCTCCTGTCCTAGTCACAGGGGCTGAGAACCTGCGGCCTCCAGGACACATGTGGCCCTCTTGGTCCTCAAATGCAGCTTTTTGAGGGAATCCAAACTTCACAGAATATTTGTTAAAATCAGTCAAAAGGCTGCACTTGAGGACCTAGAGGTTCCCCACCCCTGTAGGACCTAGGACCCTAAGCCTGAGCTTTTCACCATGGCCTCCTCTCCTCCACTCTGAATTATATCCTACTTCCCAATGGACTGGAGGGAGCTTGCTTAGAAACTGCTGCCTCTCTGGGGTGGAACCAAGGGTGGGGAGATAAGGGAGATTTGTAGTGGGAAAGGGCCCCTTGCCTCTGCCCGTGCTGCTCCTTACTGAGTTCCTTTCTGTCTTGCTTCTCTAGGTGGTCCCTCAGGTAGAGAATGTTGCTGTGCCCATATGGGGCCCTGGCCAGGATATCATCGTATACTGTAAGTTTGCAATGAGACACTACAGTATAGATGATGTACTGGTTTGGGCCACCCTTCAGCTCTGGAACCCAGGAGCAGCGGGAGAGCAATTGGGCCAGGCCCCAAGAACGGCACACAAGGAGCGTGGGGAGGAAACCGTTACCATTACTGTGCTTAGTAATGGTAACGGTTCTCTTGCTGCGCTCAGTGACCGTGCCCACAAGCAGAGGACGGAAGAGCCTGGCACTGGACAAGGAAGGGGGGGAGAATCTCATTTCTACTGATATTCTGTACAAATAAAAGTGAGAACCAAACTCTTTCTTATGTCATTTTATTATCACCAATAAACCAGAGAAGGGGTTACAGAGGGGAGGATGATATGCGGATGAGAAGTGGGTGGACATAACTCATCTCCAGGGTAGCCAGGGCCCGGCTGTTGCTGTAAAAGGGCATGTGCTTGGTGCTGGCTGGTTAACCGAGGTGCAGAGGCTTGGGACGAAGGGAGAACTGAGCCCCTGGCTCTGGGAAAAGAACAGGAGCTGCCCATAGCCCTCTGTACCAGCAAGACGACTCCTGCGAGGATGGGTCTTAGAGCAGCTCTGGTCAGACACAGCTCCTGCTTCACTTGCCTGGCCGTCCAATCTTCTCAGGGCTGGGCACGTGGATCGTTACACCCAACGATAAACCACTAGGTCCATGTGCCTGGCCAGCCTAGGGGACTTGGAGTGGGGGGATGGTCACCTTTGGAGCTTAACCGAGAGGCGGAGCTGCACATCACAGAGGAATACGTTTCTGAGGTCCTGAGTAACTTCGTGTGCCACGTGGCTGATCAGCTGCCCACTCTGACCAATCAATATCCTCTGGGCAGGACAGAAAACAAGGGTTTGTTAGGGGTGGGAGGGACAAGGACGGGAAAGGTAAATGGGAGAGGGGCCCTAGCTTTTAGGATTACTACAAGGAAGAGGGGGAAATGCCGTCCAGCCCTTGCCCAACTCCCCATCTCATTCCCCGCACACCGCCCCCCCCAACTTACCTTATGGGATTCCTTAGACACTAGCAAGTCCTGAAGGATCACAAGCTCCCCACTGGGACCCTCTTCCCACAGCTTTGTCACCTGCCAAGAAGAGCCACTTCAAACCACAAGCCTACAAGGCCTCCCCTTCCTCCTCCCTGCAGCCAAGCCCCGTACCTGATGCACAGTATAAGGCACTTCCTGAGGCAGGTGTTCCAATAGCTTTTCCCGAATTATGTTGGCACAAATCTCCTGAGGTGTCTGGCTGGTGAGCACTTCACTGTGGAACTCCCAGGGCCCTGGCTGGGCCTGTGCCAGGAGATATTGCTGTGGGTACCACAAAACACACGGTTGGCCTCAGGGCCTCCCCTTCCATGTCCCCCTTGCTCCCAAGACAGCCTGAGACTTCATTTCCTACTCAAAGACCATGCCCAAGGCAGAAGACTTCAGGATGCTACATCTAGGTTTCTGAAATGACAGCCCTACCTGGGGGTGGGAAGCAGGGATAGACTGACCTTCAGGGTCTCCACATCCTCTTGACTCAGGGCGGAGAGCATGAAGATCTCCTGGAAGTGGGGCCAGCCTCCCCTCTGCTCCCTGAGGCCTTTTGAGGCCTCCGAGTCTGACTCTGATGGGGTTTTCTGGGTCTTGGAAACTGGGAATGTCTGCTTCACTCGCAACTCTTTGCCCCCGACTACACCTTCTGTGAGGGCTGCTGTCAAGTCCAAAAGGATCGACTTCTGTTTCAAGCAATCCACCTGGGGAGAAGTCAAGGAGTCAGCACACCTTCAGGCCCCAAAGGAAGCAGAGGGGCTGGTGATTCCTCCTCAGCATTTGGCTCACCTTATTCATCACCAGAATGCTGGGCACTTGGGGAGAACTGAGACAAGCACTTGAGAACCTGCTGGTTAAGCTGGCCCCGGGTCCACTTGTCTGAGACGTCCACTAGAACCACGACTGGGAGGAAAACCAGCAAATCCTGTAAACCTCTCCCAACCCTCCCCACCAAAGCAGACAGATCACTAAATAGGGAGGGCCCTTGTCCCAATTCTCCCCACACTCAGCAGGTTATAATCCCTTGGGAATTTAGCAAATACAGAATTCCTCATGCCCTCTTGCTAACCCCCTCCCCCCCCAGCTTTGCTCAGGATAGGAGGGGTCCTACCCAGGTCTGCATCCTCCATGCTTCTCCATGGATCCTTCAGCAGGGACTGCTCTAGGTTATGCCTAGAGAACAGGTGCAAGACATTGAAAGAATTCAGCCCAGTATCCCAAGTGCTCCTGGGGCAAAGTGGAGGGAAGCAGGAAGCTTCTGGTTTCCTCAGGCAGCAAAGCGGCACAGAGGATACAGTGACTGACTTGGAGTCTCAGGCACTTACTAGCTATGTGACCTGTGGGAAGTTACTTACATCTTTCTGTGTCTCAGTTTCCCCATCTGTAAAACAGGGATAATCCCAGCACCTACCTCATAGGGTTGTTGGGGAGCTCAAATGAACCAGCACATGTAAAGAGATTGGCAAACCTTAAAGTGCTCCAGACATGCTAAGTGTTACTTTATTATCATTCCCCATCAGAGTGGGCCGGTCTCTTCAGTGTTATTACCTCTTTTGCTTAGCACGGCTGATAAGGCCAGGTGTGTCTAGGAGAACCTGGAGGTGAGGAAGACAGAGTCTCAGAAGAAAGGCAGGATGGGCCCTGGGGGAGGCACTGAGGGGCCTGCACCACTGGTCTGGACACATGCTACATCTTCCCAGATAAAGCTCCCTGAGGGCAAGGGCTGGTTTTCATGCTTATCTTTGTACCCTCATTGCCTAGCACGCTCATTCCTGGCATGGCATATGCATTTCCTATACCGTTGGATAAACTGAGTTCTGAAGGATGCCCTCTTTATCCAGATAATCCCCTCTTCCCACCCTCTTCCTCAGGGACTGAAGGACAGGTCTCAAGCTGAGACCTCAGAGCTTGTGAATCTCATGGCGAGGGAGTAAGACAAAGAATTTCTCCTAGGCTGAAAGGAAGCTATTGGGCAGGTGCACAGCCCTTGTAGAAGGGCTGCCTGACAATGGCTGGATTAAAGTTCAGGATTTGCTCGAACAAGGATCAGATCACAGGGTACCCTACGTGGACTGGGCTCAGGCAGTGGTCTTAGCTTCAATCCTCCACAACAGGCATCCTCAAGTTAAAGCTCCCAGCATCTTGCCTCACCCCACCACACCTTACAGACACTTACCACCTGTGTCTCCTCCTCTGTGATGACCCCGAGGGCCTTGCATCGAGTGGTATGCACCTTCTTGGACACGGGGAAAACCTGGCAGGATCAAAGCTGAGAGTAAGGGCTCAGAGCAAAGAGACACAAGGTAACACAGCAAGGAACGGAGGGTGAATCATACTTTTCGGCCTAGCAACTGGTTGGACAGCGTTGACTTCCCGGCATTTGGGGCTCCCAGGATGACGACCCGCAGGATCCGGCAGTTCTCCGGCATGTTGGGGGGATGGGCCACAAGAAGAGCCTGTTTGTCTGGGGGGAGGCACAAAAGACAGTGTGGACATGTGATCCAGTTCCCCAGTCCTTTCTCAACTAACTCACAGAATAAAGCTTCTCCATAAAGAACCACCCCCCCCCCCCCCCGCAGTCAGGAAATGAAGCCAGAAAGCAGGTCTGGGAAAGCGGAGCCTGGGACCCTAATGCAGCTCAGCCCATGACTCACCCAGCTTTAAGTGGGAGTGAGGTGGCCACTCACCTCCCCTTTCCTGGGACTATTTCCCCAACTGTACAGTGGGGATAGGTTGTTGTAAACTGTGCCTAGGTGCTCTATGAATCCAAGGGATTCTTACCATAACCAATCTCGATAAACACCAACAATCATTAGGAGACCTGGGTTCAGATCCTGACCCTGAAGGTCAGTCCCCATATAGTGTGGGGCAAGTCACTTCAACAAACCAAAGGACACCAAGCCCCCTCCAGCTGTTTTTCATAGCCTACCTTGAAGGTTTCTCTCTGCAGGCTGTCTCTCACTATCTTTCACACCTGGAATGTATCTGTGCCTCACTTTGCCTCTCAAAATCCTTTTCAACCTTCAAAGCCCTCAGGTGCCAACCATTCCACAGAGCTTTCACCTGACTGCTCCAGCTACACTGATGATCATTCCTTCCTCAAATCTAATAGAGCGTTCTGGATTCTGCTTTGCCCCATCATCCTCTACCTTGTACCGTACTCATCTGTTTTTAGGTCCCATGCCAGAGATTCCTTACCTTTCTTATTTCAAGAAGAAATATTATATTTCCCATGGCAGTCTGGGGAGGCTTATGGCCCCTTCTCAGAATCATGTTTTTAGAGTTATAAAATAAATAGAATTACAAAGGAAACCAATAATATAGGCAGCTGGTTGTTGCAGGGGACAAAATGCTGGACCTGCAATCATGAAGACCCGAGTTCAAATCCAGCCTCAGTCACTCACTTACTAACTGGGTGAGTTACTGAAACTGTTTCAGTTTCCTCCTCTCTAAAATGAGGATAATAATAGCACCTACCTGCTGGGGCTGTTGTAAAGAACAAATGAAGTATCTGTAAAGTGCTTTTTTATATAGATGCTGGCTGTTACTAATTACTATTACTGAAATAAAGCTGAATTTTTTTCTCATCCAAGGTCACAGACCCCTTGGAATCTTAATCCCAGGACAAAATCCTATATCCTCAGTGGTATCTACACTCCCAAAGGCAAGGGCTGTCTTTTAAATAAAATTTCTGCGACCCTCTCTAGGGACTTAGCAGATGTTTGCCTCAGTTTCCCTCCTCTGTAAAATGGGGACAAGCCCTCATCCTCCCCACCCGGCAAACTTAAGCCCTAGGGCGCCTGACCCCGTCCCAGGATCACTTACCCCGGTGCCAGGCCACAGCTGGGGCCGGACGGACAGGGTCGTGGCCTGGCTGGGCGACCCCCAGAGAGTGGTCCAAGGCTGAGCCCCGTCCATGGCAGCAGCGAGCGGAAGGAGCCACGCAGGAACCTCTGACCACAGCTGCCACACAGGAGAGAAGCCTCACCCCACGCATGGGCAGAGGGCTTCAGGGGCAGGAGAAAGGGCAGGAATGGGCGGGGCTATACGGGCGGGGCCAGGCTGAAGGCGGAGCCTGGGCACCAAGACTCAGCGGCGCGGGGGGGGGCGGGGCCAAACCCGGGGATGGGGCCTAGGCGGGACGGAAATAAGGGAGCGGGGCACAGGAAAGCTCGGGAGCTGAGATTCTGCCCCCGTGGCTGCCAGAAGCCCTGCGCTTTTCTCTACGCGTGACCTACTCAGAAACCT